GTATGGGCAACGAGAGGGAGTGCGCGCTGGAAGGTGGGACATCCATTAGGCGTGTTCCTGGCCGCTTGCATTGCTCCGTGTGGACAACCATGGACAGACGGTTTAAGAGCTGTTCGCTATCCCCACTGCGTGCGCTCGTATCATCGAGGTGCATTGACACTAACCGCAAAAATATCGCACTAATGGACCAGGCGCATCCGGAAATTTTCTTATTACTGAAAGGCTGTGACCCTGGTGGTGCAAGACAAGATAAACTACATATATACGAGTTGAGCCTCTCGCCAGTAATACTTCAACACGCTATTCATCTGGACGCGGCGTGAACGCGAATAGACTGTACGTCGACCAATGCGGGATGCCTCTCCCAGCAGGTTGGTTTGTTTAGCACCTCAGGTGACACTTCAGCTGACAAGCCGATAGCAAATTAACGCAATGTTGGTGTATGACACACTGAAGCCTCAGATCCGAAGCGAAGCTTCCCAACTTCAGCTGGGGGACTGAACGTTGATAAAAGACTCAACCCACCACAAACTACAGCAACGAGTGGGTTTCTCCCTGGATTTGGGAAACTTTCGTCTCAAAGTTGGGAGTTGAGGGCTCGAGCCAAAGTTGGAAAGGGGAATGGCTTAAGCCTCCCCAACTAAATCGGAAACTTCACCCTTGCCTTAGATACAAACGCATGTCAGTTTCCTAATGTGTTGCTCCCATCGACCAACACATACACACACACACACACACACACACACACACACACACACACACACACACACACACACACACACATGTTCCACTGTCAACGCGTGTGTCTGTGCTCCGTTAGCAGCTTTCCTTTGCCGTCTGTTGCTGTCAAACACCAGACACCACCTGCCGTAACGTGCTGTGTTACATCACCAGCCGGTAATACTCCAGACCCGCATCTCAGTCCATCCGCCGCTGCATTGTCTCGGCAGCAGCGGGTGAAATTTAACGCTCCAAACAAAGGCGGCGGGCCCGGAGCCAGGGGCGTGAAGTGGCGGCCGCGTGTCTCGCCGGGGCCGTATCATCCATGCGTCCATAGTGCAGAGCGTACAAAGTGCGAAATGTCCCAAGCACACGATGTCCAAGACACGTAATGTTTGAAGTGTACAATGTCCAAATGACGCAAGTCGTAAATATAATTGTTTTCAGATTTGGCTTCGATGCGTTATTGACAGGTTAATGTGTTTCCGTGTATTTTCCTCTACTCTCCTGGAGGCTTTATAGTGACCTTTGAAAGTCATGCTGCCGACACCATGGCGACACGTTGCCACCTCCAGGGTTGGATTTCATGCCTTATTGACGGAGTAGTGCGTATATGCGTACTTAACTGTTAGCTGCCTTGGTGCTATACGATGACCTATTATATGTTAGGTTATCAGCGGTGCATATCCATCACGACAGGACGAGCTCGTAGACGTTTTGATGCTTGCATTTGATACATTATTGACGGAGTGTGTGTGGCCGCATTTTTAATTCCCCTACTGCCTGGGGCTTATAGGGTGACCTCCAGAGATTCGGCTGCCAGAAGTGCCTACACCTGACGTCATGGCGAACAGCGGCCGTTTTTAGATGTGGGTTTGATGCATTAATGACCAAGAAATCGGTGATGGCGTGTTGTCCCCCAATTGTCTGGCAGCTGTGAGGCGACCTTTACGGGAATTGTTACCAAATGTGCAAATACCTAACGCCACGGCGACCTCATGAGCGTCGGCAGGCTTGGGTTCGATGCCTTGCTGACGGAGTGATGTGTCTGCACATTCGACTTCAATTGCCTTGAAGGTACACAATGACCTCCATTCCTTTAGGGGTCAGTTTGTCAGAATTCAATGCATTTGACGTTGCAGCGAGCACGTGGTTGTGTTCGGATTTGAATTCGATGCCTTATTGACGGGCAAATGTGTGACTGTATATTGGATTAGCCACGCCTTCGAGGCTACATCGTGACCTTCAGAAAGGTCAAATTGCCAAATGTGCATATACCTGACGTTGGAATCCCAATCTGAACACGTGGCCGTATTCAGATTGGGATTCGATGCATGATGGACGAAGTTTGACATCCAAGGCCTCAGCCATGGAAGAGCATGGGGAAAGACATTCCAGGGTTTCGAAAGCGTTCTCTTACAATGCATGTAATCAGGGCTCTCAGAATCGCCGTGAATTCGTAATCTTATTTTGAGGCTGAACACGGGGTGACTATACGGCCTGATTTTAGCAACATTAGGTAGGTTATGAACGTTCAAAAATTATTCAGTGTGATGAACGCCGGAAAACCCTGCAACAAATAGCTATACCCCAGCACCAAACACAAGGGATCGAAACGTCGATAAAAATATTATGCTTTCGACGCATGCTCGGGTTGTCCTTATCAATCCCTGGTATTATGAGGCCGCAGGACTTGAGCACACCGTTCCAGTAATGTTCGTGAGGTTGAGGCAATGCTGGAGGCCGGATAAACGCGGCGAGCGAGATTCCTAACCAATACTCGGTACGGGTCATCGTGAACTTCCGGCTTAGCCGTCTGCGTTTCGTGCAGCCCTTTTTGTGGCATTGTCTTTGCAGATTAGGAAAATTCTCCGAATTTTTTTACATTCCCGTGTCTTATCTGCCAGGTGTTTCTCTTTCATTTGCTCAGGACTTGTTCAAACCCTTATTACTCGCGAGTGCTCTTGAGCATGTCAGCTCGAAGCGTGGAGCACCGTTCATATGATGAATGTTTGCGATATAACTTCGTTTCAGCAGTACGTTCCGTCATTTGAAGGTCAATAACTCACCATACGAACTATAAACTCAAGCTGCCGAAATACAAGGAGCTGAAGATCTTTCTTTCTTGCATAATGCTGCACGCGTTTACACTGTTGGTCGACCAATATCTTACCAAGTTGGTTACAGGATGTGTCTTCCGACCCGCCCACCCACGGCGGAGTGGGTTCGAGTCGCCTCAGGCGCCCACTTCTCGCTTCTGATTGGGATAGCCTGCGCCCAGCGGCCGTATCCACCACGTCAGAGGGCAGGTCGGGCCGTGCCCATTGCGACACGTGAGGCCCTCGCCGCAAGATCCTGCCGTCGACCCGGACCCTCAGGATCGAGTTGAGGGATTGGGGCTCACGCAATAACCCCGGCTTAGTGTGCGTGCTGATCACCGAAATCCACCAAATCAAAATGTCAGACTAAAGTAGTTTTAAAATGTCAAACAGTTGGGCTTGTCTCCGTCCCCGTGGCGGCGGAGCCCATTTCAACGTACGACTTCTGAACGCTGCTGAACACCTGCTGCGGATGAGATGTGTATTTGTACGGTGCAATTCACATCAAATAAACCCCAGCGACAGGTGGCGCCACCGCGCGCTGCGGCCGCGCCGCCGGCAGCGGACGGTTGACCGGTGGCGCCGCCGCCAGCAGCGGGCGGTTGACCGGTGGCGCCGCTGCCAGCAGCGGGAGGTTGACCGGTGGCGCCGCTGCCAGCAGCGGGCGGTTGACCGGTGGCGCCGCCGCCAGCAGCAGGCGGTTGGCCGGTGGCACCGCCGCCAGCAGCGGGCAGTTGACCGGTGGCGCCGCCGCCAGCAGCGGGCGGTTGACCGGTGGCGCCGCCGCCAGCAGCGGGCGGTTGACCGGCGGCGCCGCCGCCAGCAGCAGCCGCCGCTACCAGTCCGGCACGGCGAACACGTCCGTGTCGGCTGCGGCTGTCGAGCCCCCGGGTGCTGTCGTCCCGTTCGCCGAAGAGTCTGGAGAAAGGAGAAAAAAACACGATAATTACATTTGCGGCATAAGCTGGCGCGTCCTGCTGCCGTGGTCCACGAGCGGTCCAGGTGTGCCATGCCGCATACAACACATCTACTAGTCGTTATCATGCCTGCCTCATTACGAAAGTCCGAGCGATCACTGTGCCAAGGAGAGCTCCAAGAATCGACCCAGCTTGGCAGGCTGATGATAACGCCAGATGCCCTTGCATCAACACCAGCGCTAAAAGCGACCCCATGCTTGATAATTTGTGTGCCCGCCTACAACACTTATTTTTCGTTGTTTTCTTAAGAAGTGATACCTTTCCGATGAGGTGAACCGCCGCATAGCACAAATTAGAATCCTGTTTGTGTATTTCAGATTGCAGTCGGTGTCAGTGATTCAAAATACTTGAAACGAAAAGGCGAAACGTTTAGATGCGTTCCAGTAGTGTGTTTAATAGGCGTTCAGTGTTTCAGTAGTGTTTTTGGTAGCCTTTTAGAGTTTTTAAGTCAAAATTGTCACTTTACTGCTTGCCTAACGTCGATCTCTCCAACACGTTTGGTGCCAGCTCCAGGACATCGAGGAAATAATCCGGTAATGATTATGACTCCAATAAGTAAGAGTCTCGGTCTGTTCCTTGCCTATTCTGGACCACAAGTGACACACACAACCAGCAGCTTAACAGCAAAACAACCAAGGGAACGGGCAACATGGCCTCGGGACACAAGCTGGAATGGTCATTTGATTATGCCTTGACACATGTAGCTGCCTGGCCGACGAGCATTTTCATACTACGATGGATGCGGCGCCAGCAAAAGTCCCTTGCATCGGGATTCAAGCCTGGATCCAATAATTATCAACACCAAAGCCTAACACCCACTTGACTAGCTTTCCTCACACACAGAGCTACGGCACTGTGAGGCGCAGCTGACTGTTCAGCACACCCCGCTGACTTACTGACGCCCTGCGGACTCACCGGAAGTCTCCCGCTTCCGCTTCTTCCGGGCGGACCTGGCCAGCGCGTGCTGCGCGTCGCTCCCGGCGTCCCGCGGCGAGCTGTGGCGCGGTGCGCCGCTGTCGGCCGCGGTCGGACTGGAGCGCGCCGCCGCCTCGCTGCCGGAGGCGGTGCGGCGGCGTGGGGCGCCTGCGGCGGCTGGCGGCCGGCCCGGGCCCGGGCGCGGACTGACCCCAGCGGCGGGCGGCGCGTCTGCGGTCACCGAGCCCGCGCCGCCAGCGACGGAGACCGCGCGGGCCGGCGCGGGAGAGGTCTTCTGCTTCGTGGCTCGGTCGGGGCGCGACATTCGCTGAAAGGGAGGCGTGGTTGACGCCCACGACTCGCACAAGACTGCTTCACATGGGTGTTCAGTTAGTTGTCATAGATGTGTCAGCGATACTTGGCTTTTCCCATGACCAAACTAGACGCACAACAGCCGCATATTTGAACCACAGACACGTGAATGCAGATGAGAGATCAGTGCCATGTCCTCTCCCTGACAACCTGTGTCACTCCGGGAGCGGCCAGCCGCCCACGACCCCGTCCCCCTCCATACCCTGCGCCGCGCCGCCCCGCCACCGACCTGCGCCGCCTGCCACTCGCTGTAGGTGCAGAGCGTGAAGAGGCCGGCCGCCTTGACGTTCTGCAGCACCTGGCTCGCCTGGTCCCGCCGGTCCAGCGAGACGAACGCCGACGTGTCGTTAATCCAGGCCACGTGCACCCGGCCTGCGTGCAGCCCACCCGTCAGTCAGAACCCCGTGCTGCGGTGCTAGGCCACGGGTCACGGGTCACGGGTCACGGGTCACGGGTCACGGGCCACGGGTCACGAGTCACTGGTCATGGGTCACGGCCCTCGGCCCGGCATTTCGCCAAGTCCTGATTTGCAGCTGCGCTCCAAAAGTCGTGATCACAGACCTTCGTCCGGTATGTTGGCGTCAGGTGGCGTGAGCTTGGCGCTCCGCACTGATTTCTAAAGCAGTCCATCCGTCTCCGGGTCAGGACAACCAGCGACATCGGCTCCCTGATGTCTCGGCGGGACGCATTTTGGCATCGGTCTCACCGTTTTGTGACGCGGCAGGCGAGTCACACAGCGTGGTCACGAGTCAGGGGACTTAACCACACAACGGGCAGGAGAAGGTCCGCGACGCCCGGTAATGCAACACACACACACGCACGCACGCACGCACGCACACGCACACACGCACACGCACACGCACGCACACACACACACACACACACACACACACACACACACACACACACACACACACACACACACACACACACACACACACACACACACACACACACACACACACACCGATGTGCAGCACACAGCGGCAGTTTGACCAGTACAACGTGCGAGAAGTTTGTGTTACGCAGTGTGCGGGCGGCCTGAGACCCCGGCGCATTTGACCGCAGATCGCACTCAACCCCTGATGCACTCGACATGGGCGTAAATTAACGGTGACATCGCTGGGGCTGGATCATGTCAGCTCCGCAACGATAGCCAGGGTAGGCTCGCGTTCGTAGCCACGGTACGGGCCGTCGACGACTCACTGAAGGCACTGAACAGCTGGACGATGTCGCCCGTCTTCCAGGCGGCCGGGAAGGTCAGATGGAACACGTGGTCACGGCTGGGCTCCACGTCATCTCCCGTCAGGTTCAGGTACGGCATGTCGGCCATTCTCATCACGAACACCCTGCGGCGGGTATGGTACACATGTACCCACGCCAGGGCCGACAGACGGCTCTGCTAACCCTGGGCCAGTCACATACCATCAGGTCAGGCTCAGGTGAGGTCAGCGCAAGCACAGGCTGACCAGGCTGACATACACTGCACTGCACGGCACGCCGGCCACACGCATCACGCGCAGCCTTCCGCGGCTCAAGGGCACGCACGCTACACTCGCGGCTTCGCTTCACGGAAATGTGATCTCTAGACCAATGGCGACTTCTTACTAACGTAAAATATTGTTTCCCGAATCAATGGGGAATGGGCGACTGCCATGCACGTGGATTCCACTGGCCATTTCACATACTTCAGCTTCTCGCATCAGCTGGACACGGACCTACCACACAAACACTCGCCTCTCCACGCGGAAAACGCGGCCTTTATCCAAAAGCGATCGCAGAACACGAAAGCGGCGCAACTACCCGCCGTAACTCACTTGTTGGAGAAGGGGCGCACGATATCCGCGCTGGGCTCCAGCAGCGGCTTGGGCGGCGTCAGCAGCAGACCTGCGGATCACCAGAGCACTCTCGGGTCCGGTCCTGCTCCACAGATCTGATCGCGGAGCCACCCACACTGGACCGTGTAGGAACAAAACTAACGCACCAATGCCGGCAATTATCACCACTAGGCTTCCACTCAGAGCCCGAATGTCGTGCGCCGCTTCACATAATGTATGACGCGCACCACTGCCAGAGCCAAGCTTTCAACGATTTTTAAACGATTTCAGAACCGCTTTAACGATACTAACACGCTGTCACACCTGGGAGAACGAATACCACCTTCCACATCTAAAAATCCTCCCCACATGCAGCCGTTCTCTACCGCCAACAGCTGGTGAGCCTGCACACTGGGGGACGTCCTCTCACCCAGGTAGTTGACCATTGAGGCGAAGCAGACGGCGGTGAGGAAGGCGTCGTAGCCGGCCTCGTGATGCTTGCTGTCGCCCACGCGGTACTCGGGCCCGCTGCTGCCCTCGGCCGCCACTGCCAACAGGTCAGGTCACGTCAGGTCAGGTCAGGTCAGCTCGGGGTGAGACCTGGTCAGGTTAGGTTGGGTCAGCTCAGGATGAGACAGATCAGGGTCAGGTCGAATCGGATCAGACCAAGTCAGGTCAGCTCGGGATAAGATCAGATCAGTGTCAGATTGGGTCGGGTCAGGGTCAGATAATATCGGGACAGGCCAGGCGAGAATCACGCCACGCTGGCATCAAGTGAGGTCAGGCCCATGCAAGTCTGCAGGCGAGTCAGGGCCATGCAAGGCCACATTCCAGGCAGGACTATGCAAGACTGTATTCTAGGCAGGGCCATGTAAGGCTTCAGTGAGGGCAGAGCTATGCAAGCCTGTATTATGGACAGGGCCATGCAAGGTCGTAGTCAGGTCACGGCATGTACGATTTGAGCCAGATCCAGTCCACTAGGAGTCGGTTCGAGTCGGATCGGCACCGCGCGACGTCAGATCAGGTCCAGGACAGTCAGCACAGGTCGGGTCAGGTCAAGTAAAGCGGGGTTCTTGCCAGGTCAGACCGAGGTCAGATCGGTTGGCTCAAGCCAGTCAGGTCAGGGCGGGTTCGGCCGACAGCGGCAGCGTATCAGCGTCGCCTCAGCGGGGGCGCACAGCACGCCCTGGACCGCGGCAGTCGACTCCGAGTACATGTCCTGAGGACAACCGTCGGGGCGCAGGGCACGCGCCGCCCAGTCCGAGTCTCTCCCGGCTAGGGCAGTTGGACGCGTCTGGTTGGGGTCGGGACAGTCGGGAGCGGTTACGCTGACGTGTGCCCGGTTGTTTCTCGCTACGTGGTCCTGGTCGATCAGTTCTCGAGCCCGAAGCAAACACTAATAGATAATGCAAGGTGTGCACCCTATACCGCACTGTGTCAACCAAATAATAAAGTGCAACGATTCTGGTCACAACGAAGGTCTGCTTAGCATCGGGCGACGAGAAAGCTGTGCCTGGGAGATGAAAATGGTGTGCGATTAAAAAAGTGATTTACCGTCGCAAGAGAAACGAGATCGCACATAGCCAACAGCGGAAAGGCGCTCTACTCACCGACCGTGGGCGCGGTGAAGGGATGCGTTCCCAGACAGACCACCATCTCGCCCAGCGTGGTCGACGGGATGAGGTCGCGGAACGGCTGTGTTGAGCCCATCACCTTGGTGTCGACCAGACTGTGAACAGGCCGATCAGAGAGAAAGAGCTCCCCAGGCCGCGCCTCGCGTCTGCTTTCGCCGGCATCTGACAGCTACGTAGCTGGGCGCCAGTCGCATTACTGCCGTTCTTCTACATGTCCCGCTAGCCCAAGGTCCTCAAAGCATAACCAGACCCACCGACAGCCTGCCGCCATCACCGGCATATCTCACACTTAATACTGCCTTCGGCATGGCACCAGCGTCTGCTATCTGTTATTATTATTATATACATCACGATACTAAAAACTGATATGGACCAGCAGTTGCAGGAGCTACCGCAACAAGCAGCAGCACCCCTGGTGCAAACCGGGACACATAAAACTTCTCCGCATCCGGTTTGGAACCAATACATTTTGATCACAAGATCGACCACACCGCTCGTCCACCGCGCCTGCCGACAGGGCGAATCCGGGACAAGCTGGCGCCGCCTGCCACCGCCTGGGGAAGACACAGGGGAAGACGCAGCTGACCTGGGGAAGACGCAGCCGACTACCGCCCTGAAGTCGGCGTAGCTCTGCGGCAGCGGACAGACGAACTGTTCCACCATGTGCAGCAGGTCCAGCAGCATGTTGTGGCCCACGACCGTCTTGCCCTAGCAGAGGGGCACGGGAGGGACGTCAGCGCGCCGCGGGGGAGAGGGAGGGAAGGGAGGGGGGAGGGGGGCACAGGAGGGTCGCGGCGGGCGGCGGGAGCCCAGCCACGGCGCAGGACAAGGCGCGCTGGAGTTGGCGACACACTCGTGGTGCCCACCAGTGGAGCATTGTAAGCCGTTATTGCGGGCGATGACGGCTCGCGACGTGTAATCGAGTAGACCCTTGTCGTTCTCTTATCATGACCGCGCCAGCGCAAAAGAAATTTCGCGTCACAGTGACATTGCTTGCCCGCGCTGCGCAGACGGCCGTGACGACCCGTGGCGTCACCCACCGACTCGCTGATGGCCGAGATGACCTGGCAGAAGCCGGCCGCCTCGTCCAGCCGCTCGCGCAGTCGGCGGCGCCGCTCTTCCGGGCCGGCGGCTCGCCGCACACGCAGCGTGCGCTGGCCGCCCGGCGTGCGCTGCGTCTCCAGATCCAGCGGTGTGGCCACCCTGCGGTAAGCAGCGACCACAGTGGGGAGAGAGCGGCGAGAAAGCGGTGAGAGCGGCGCGTGAGTGCGGAGGTCGGCGGGCCAGTCGCAGCTACAGGCTAGACAGTCGCGGCAGACGGTCCCGGTGAAGACGCCAGTGCAGTGGGCCCGGCGCAGAAACCGGAACACGGCTGGCAGGGGCAGAGGCGAAGAGACAATGGAACTTCGGCGGCCAGCACATGGTCAGTGTACAGACCCCGGCAGATGTCGCCGACCGCGCATGTGCTGCGACCCTTCACTGCAGAGCCGGTCAGAGGCTCCTCAGAACGCGGGGGGGAGGGGGGGCTGCAGCGCAGAGGCACGTCAAGGAATGCGATACAGAGTTCGGCTCTGGGCCGGAGTGGAGGCCGGCTTATGGGCCGCGGTACGGAAGCCACCAGAGGCGTATGATGCAAAGGTCAGGTGTGTATCACAGAAAACATCGCAGGAACGCATATTTCAGTTCCGAATCCCCATCAAACAATGTAAATTATAGTACTTTTACCAGTATTTCAACTCCACGTGCAGTACACGGAGCTGAATGGCTTTAAACAAGCAATGGTGCATATAGAATGGACGGCGCCGAGAAGTCTAGTATCCGATCACAAACCTGATCCGCGTATACTGGGTACGCACGCAACACTGCAGATCCAGCGGACAGTGAAACACTTGCACCGCCTTGCGGAAACCCCACTGCCAGCGGCAATTCACCCACCCAGACATAACGTTCACCGCAAACCCATCCCACCAGCGGCTAGCTACCACAGCCAGCCACGGCAGCGTACCTGGCGCTGACGTGGTCGTACATGATCTTCCGCTGGTAGCCGCTCAGGCCGTGGAAGTCCAGGTGCTCGTCGGACGAGCGCAGGAACTCCCCGACCTGCGATCTGACCGGCACGCACACACCGTCACACCCGGCGGACAGTCACCCGCCGCCCCGTGGGCGCCGCGCCCCATCCGCCGCGTGCAAACTGCGCCGTCCGCGGGCGATCCTGCCCGCCGCTGTCTACGCTGAAGACTGTCGCGCCACGAATACGACGCGGCGTGTTTGTGTACTAGGTTACGTCTGTACAAACGCGCAGATGGGTTAGCTGTAGTGTGCAAATGCGCGAGTGGTGTGCTGCCCAAGGTGATACTTCGGTGACGCATACACATGCCCACACCTTGGGTTCAATTGGTCGCAACATCAATATTGTTGGATCCGCAAGTGCTTTAAGTGCCTTTTCCCGGGATTCCGCGCTCTTAAATCACTCCCTCAGCTCGCCCCGGAACTCACACAGCCTTGTCGAGGAACTCGGTTTGGTTGTCGGGCACACTGGCAGTGGCGGCGGCAGCAGCGGTGGTGGTGGCGGCGGCCGGCGAGGCGGCTTCCTCCTGCTGTCGCTCTAGCTGATCGCGCAGCGTCTCCACCTGGGCGGGCTTCAGGTACGGTACGCCTGAGGCGGCGCAAGGCGGGGCGTCACGTCGCGGAGCGTCAAGGAGCGGGGTGTCACGGGGCGGGTGTCACGGGGCGGGTGTCACGGGGCGGGTGTCACGGGGCGGGAGTCACGGGGCGGGTGTCACGGGGCGGGTGTCACGGGGCGGGTGTCACGGGGCGGGTGTCACGGGGCGGGCGTCACGGGGCGGGTGTCACGGGGGGGTGGGGCGGGTGTCACGGGGCGGGAGTCACGGGGCGGGAGTCACGGGGCGGGTGTCACGGGGCGGGTGTCACGGGGCGGGTGTCACGGGGCGGGTGTCATGGGGCGGGAGTCACGGGGCGGGGCGTCACGGGGCGGGTGTCACCGGGGCGGGTGTCACGGGGCGGGTGTCACCGGGGCGGGAGTCACGGGGCGGGTGTCACGGGGCGGGTGTCACGGGGCGGGTGTCACCGGGGCGGGAGTCACGGGGCGGGTGTCACGGGGCGGGAGTCACGGGGCGGGAGTCACGGGGGCGGGTGTCATGTCAAGCCACCAGCTCCGTCCGGTGACACGGCATGGGGTGGGGCCGCTTGGCAGTAGTCGAGGGTAAGTACAACAGGTTTTCAAGCAAATTATGCCAACACCAGTTATGCACCCAGCTGTGACTTCGACGCACAATTCATAAACGTTTGGATGAAGTTGCCCCATCAGAGGTATGGAAGGCTTTGTCTTGTTTTGTTTGGTTTAGGTGCGTTTTCTGAAGAAAATCAGCTTCAAAAACGGGCATGACAGTGATATCTTAGAATGGTTCCTCCATCTATAGCGCTTCCTTTCCCAAAACTCCAGACACCATTGAACCAAACGAAATGCAGAGGCAGGGCCGCAGTCAGCCGCACACAGCTGCTGCAGGCAAGCACACGCGAGTGTGAAGTCGGTCAGGACATAGAGTTGCGGCGAGCTCGTACCATCCTTGATCAGCTTGTTGAAGTCGAAGCCATTGCCCGAGAGGAACTCGAGGCTGGACGGCTGGCAGAGGAACGAGCCTTGGCTCGGGTGGCGCGGGAACAGGTAAAAGTTGAACGTCTCCTGCGTGTACCTGCGGTCAGAGTTCGCTGTTAGTAGATTACAGTTACAATCGCACTGCCTAGGTGCAGCTGACTGTAGTCGCACTGTGGTGCCGCAAGCAAATAGCTAATATACACATAAACACACCTGCCAAGCCCCTCATCACCATGTCACTCAGCAAATTATTGCAATAGCACTAACAAAAACTGTGATGTCTCAGATTCAAACCCACCACCACCGGGCCACACAGCCCACCGACCTGCCCCGCTCCTGGTCCAGCGTGAAGGCAGCCAGCCCGAACTGGATGACGAGGAAGCCGGCGGCCGTACGCCGCAGGTGGGCATATCGCTCAGCTGGCGTGTCATATTGACAGGTGGTGCCACCTGTCGTCAGCCCGCTGAACTCACAGTCCACAGCCAGGAAGGAGCAACGTGAGATGGCATCCCGTATGCGTGGAAGGTGGGTGGCAAAGTCTGCGGGAAGAGCGGGTCAGCAGCAGGCCTCACTGGGAGCAAATGGCCCAGTATCTCATGCAAGGGGTGTATAATGGAAAGGGAAGATATCATGATGAGATACTTATGACTACATCTATTCCTCTGACAAGGGTTAAATGATGGCATGACATAGCAAATGAGAGGACTTTGGGAGGACTTTGAGGGCTTTAGATGCCACCCATCACCCAAATTAGGCAGAAGTGCAGTATTTCACAATGCTTCTGAATATAATTCAGAAATCTGGTGATTAGGAAAACTGTTTAGGTTACATGATTCATAAACACTACCATGTGCAGTGACACAAATGACCCAACAGCCATAAGCATGTAACAAGACAAGCAGATAAGTGGGTGAAAATGTACTATGAGCGGCTCAAACAACAATTTTATGAACCAGTACAGACCAACATCATCAACTTATTAAGACGCTACAGAATGATCACCTATCCCTGATGTTTAAATCTAATAGCTTTTGTGGGGGTATGTTAGTCCATTCACAGCATGTAGGTACTATCAACAGGCCTGAAACCTCCTCATCAAAATTAATGTCCCATCACAAATAATGGTAGCCCCTTTCATCACACATTATGGTAGCCCCATCACAAGTTCTGGCTGTCCCCCTGGATTGATAGGATGGGGAAAACCTCTTGAAATGACTACAGCAACTTTTCTGACTAAGGTCAAGATCACCATATGACAGCACTTAAAATATTCATCACATTTCAGTACAATCATTACATCCCTTAACCATCACCAAATCCCTTGCATGGGGCAGTGGGCATGTGCGTAACTTACTTTCCTTGGTTATGTCCATTTCATCTCTTCAGTAGCAAGTTGCAACCAAGTCTTCGGTCGGCCAGATCATAAACCTGACAGTAAATCATCCGATGATTATCATCATAACAAATGAGCTTCATTGCGCTGTCCATGGTGCTAGATGGAATATGCAACTTGATAAGTATTGACACATGAGTTCCAGATGCAGCACAGCCAGACTGAGAACGGTACGGTGGTTTAGCAATAACATGGAAATGGAAAAAAAAAACGGTTCAAATCCGGGGAGAAGCCCGTTTTCGTGTCTTTTGAATGCAATTGCGACCAGCTTTCCTGCTCAGTCCCACAACTTATTTCGCATAACTACATCAATGACCGTGCACCTACCGACACCTGCTTTGCAAATTGCGCGTGTCCCCATTTCCCAATTCGAAACCCCGGCTGGGAATCCTCCAAATTCCAGTTTCGCGCACCATCATTTTCAACTGACGCATTCGCGCCAAGATGTGCAGCATTCGTAAACTAAAGTACAATGCTTGAAAAGCACATTTTGGAAACATCAGTTTGTGCCATGGGCAAAGCGCAGGCGAACTTCGAAATACTGCAAGAGACCAGTTGGAAATGTTAGACTTGCATGCTTTGTTCTTCAGTTGGCACTTAATGCCAAGAGGTTTTCCACATGTTTTGTAACCCAACGAAACAGCTGCAGCATTGTTTCTTATTTAAAACCATTCCGCTTACGCAACAAACGTCTGTGGCACGCGGTGTATCTATCCAGCGCAGGCCGACAAGTTTTTTTTAGTGTAAGTAGGTTATTCTTACAGCACGCGTATTTTTAATCCCGGGGACGAGGGCGGGATTGAAAATGTTACCTTCAGATGTGACGCACGGCGTATCTCTCCGTCGCTGGCCACACACTGTTTTTTTCAATGTACGAGTACAGCTCTTTTGTTACGTTTGACCCGGGCGCCCGTTTCGGACACGCGAGTCAAGACGATCAATAGGGGGCGGGGGAGCCTTTAAAAACACCGACCCCGTCGGAGTATGGGCACCTTTAGAGCACGGAGCGGACTGTCGGGGGGATATTGGCACGAACGCACGCGATGATGGAAGACCATATTGGCCTGGCACGCCGACGACCTGCGCTCGGCGCCTACACCTCTGTAAAATAAAAGACCGGTGGAGGAATGGCCAACCCTTCGGCGATTCTCTGATTTTCCCGGCCCTTTCAAAGTTTTGTAACCTTGTGTCGTATTAATGCAACTTAAAGAAGGGAAAGTTTTTTAGGAATGTTGAGCTTACGTACTCGCACATGATGCCTGATTCGTTATATGTCGTGCACTCCTTTCGTGCTCGCGTTGTATCATAGTAATAAGTGTACCTAATGCACAAATACGTCGCTAATGTGTGTTGTTAAATGACGTGCTGATCCCCGCCTGGTGCTTCCCTACTCGCTTCAATGAACGGTCTGTAGGAAAATAGCGGTTTAGTGAATAATGAATGGCCTGAATTATGTGCCATAGTAAGGGATGCGTCGTGGTCAGACCCGTGCGTTTGACGTAAACATCTCTATCCTGCTTAGCTCATAAATTACGCACAGCTCGGGGTGGCTGTGAATTTTTCACGACTGCAATCGAAGGAATTTGTCACGACGGGCTAAAGGCGTTACAGATGCTTTACCTAGCGACTACCCGCGGGGAGTGATGGAGGAAGTCCTTGGAGGTACGTAGGCAGTTTTTTAGCGGCGGGTTGAAAGGTCCCACTTCATGTAGAAATTAGAAAGTTGGCTGTTGATCGATCTCTCTGTGACTCACAAATGAGGTGGGGGGCATTTTCGCACGTCGCTGGCCGCTAGTGAGAGTAGCAAAAGCACGTGTAGGGTACCGTTGGTGGATTTGCGGCACGCAGAACTTGGGAATTGCTTTTCAGCTGTTTTCTTGCGACTCCTAGAAGACGGAAGTCGGGAAAGGGCGTTGGGCTGTCGTAAAAGCAAGTTGATTTTTTCCGCTGGTGAATTTACATGCGGCCACAGAAGGGGGTTTGCTAAGATAATCATGAGCAACTGATCCTTAGCAGCGGCAGTGGATTTGGTCACTGAGGGTACCGTTGTTAAAATCATTACAGCTGCGCCAGATGGCCAGGTTCGCACATTTGAACCGATGAGGGATTCCGGCGTGGCGATGTGAGATTCCGGCGACAAGGAATTATAAGCCGATGTGGGATTCCGTTGTGCTCAACGGGAGATTCCGGCATATTCAGTAACGAGAGAGGGTGGGGGCGACATAGCGATGTCGCGGTGAGCCTCGCACCAGGCGGCTACTATTAACTGCGGCTAAATTCCGAGGTATGCATGATGTATGGCTGTATGGTTGCGCTGATAATTGAGGGGGGCTGATCGTCGCTCATAACCTGCAGACTGTGTGTGGCGACCAAACTAAAGCCCTCCCTTTAATATGACCGGTGACAATCATGCATGAGCCGGGGGGAATAAAGGAATGCTTGTTGCGCAATCCCAGTAGCGACGTTTGCAGCCCATGTTGGGACGAAAACACTTGTTTCGTAAAAGTCCATGTAATGTCGGTGAGCCAATGTCTTCGCCTTCACTTACAGTCACTCATGAGAGTCGCTTTATGACAGAGCATTGCCTCGGTGGTTATTACCTGCAGATCAATGCAGAGGGCCAGCTAGCCGACAGCCAAAATCGTACGTAACATATTGTCGAGAGACTTAACTAAAAAATTGATGTGATTGAAAAAACCGCTCATAACATAATGATGGCCAGTATGGCAGGTGCCGCGCAAGAGTGAAGCGAGAAAATAAAGAACCTTAACTACCGATCTACGGAAAATCCCCCCCCCGCGTAAGATGTCTAGCATATCTGTTTAAACCTAAAACCAATTGTTGGTGTCTATAAATATTTTCAAATTCTCTGAATCCCCTGGGCCTGAAGTGCTACCATATTTGCGCTCTGTCGTCGACAACAACGTATGACGTAATAAAACAATGTCCTGATGCAAGTTGTGATGGTGTTCACCACCTACCGGTTTCTCGCGTTTGACAAGTTGGCAACATATTCAAATCCATATTCAAATTCAATCCATATCCGTATTCAGAGCGATATTTCCGACTTTGACCTGCTCTGGGTCCCTCAAAGTTCTTCCAGTAGTCTTCCTGTATTCAGTGAAGGCTTCGGAATTGTTTCCTGCACCGTTCAGTTGTCCGTTAGCCTTCTCCTTAGTCCTACAACCTGTTGGTTCGTCGCCCAGCCGGTTATCTGGTGTTGATACACGACTACAGCCCTGCATTTTTATGTAAAAAAGGACTGATTAAAAGGAACTTTAAAAATTAAAAGGACTGATTAAAAGGATAAAAGGATTTTCAGGCTGGCAAGAAAAGGGCCAAACATAGCACTCACGAGGCCAACACCAAAGCAGAGGCACTCACACAGGAACCAATCGACAAAGACCGACTGTCCATCGTCAGTCACATTTCATTTTGGCTGGTCCGGGATGAAGGGTATAACCCCTATATGCTTGAAAAACACGATGAAAATCACGGTTGCTTCAGCACAGGATGCACGGGTCCCCGCCAGTCCCAGCGAAACAGTGAGAGCGAGAGCCTAAACTAGGCCTTTTGTAACAGCCGAAGTGGTGGAGTAGACCAGCCGGTCTAATGCTGAGGAGGATGGTTGACCGCTAGGCAGATTGCCGCTACGCGGTTGCCACGCCAGGCTGCCAGTTTCTGGGCGACACCCATCTCCCGTGTCACGGTCACATGGCTACAGACCCTGTCTCGTCCGGCGCCGGCGCACCCGGGCGTGTTCTCGATGCTGTGCCTGTGCCGAGCTGCAGGTCGCACGGCGCGCGGTGTCGTCCCGCGTCCGCGCCCTCGGTCGTGCTCTCCTGTCCCCTCGGGCAGGCCGATCGTTGACCCAGAGCGTCGGCTGGCGTCCGGGCGGAGCGACGCCGCGACCGTTCGGTGGTTGACGTGTCGGACGGCTGAGCCGGGCCGCAGGTCGAAAAACTGCCGTGGCACGTCTGCTGGGCTTCCACGAAGCTCTTATTTTCCACATAGGCACGTTTTGATTGCGCGAATCAAAGGAGTCCGATTTGAATGACATGTTTAGCATATCCCTCCGGTAATACGTCAGCGAGCCCGGCGGATTGCCGGTAGCAGCGTCAGCGGGGGTGTTCAGCGGCGCCTGTTTGAGATACTCATCGGTTGGAGGGAGGGTCGGAGGCTGGTATTTTCGAGGACTCTGGAGGTGGTCCCTGCCCGCGGATAGAGCCAGGGGCGATCTGGATGGCCAGCAATGGCCGGGAAAAGATTCGTGCCAGGGTAGCGCAGTCCAAGCATCTCGGTTCTGATACCGATGTCATTTTGATAAAACGAGACGTCAGTTTTTCAAATACACAATGACGGGTAAACCGTATAATCTGCCACCTGCGCACGGTGTGAAATTTCTCATAAGCATCAGCCATCTGCGAAATGAAGCCGCAAACACTATACAGGCTTCTGTGAATGCTCGAAAACATGTAGTATACTTGCAATGGTGCACAACAAGCACACACCATGGCAACGGCCAAGCTTGCAAATGATAAATATGAATACCAGATATGATAAAACTGCGTAATGCGCATTATGTCCACGACGAGTTTTGTATGATGGGAGCACAAAGCAACCAGCTGTTCTTATACAGACGATTGGTGTTATTATATCGGCATATTTCGCGCGGATACGCTAAGGAAACAAAGCAAAAGAAAACGTGACGCTCATCATGGGCACACATCAGCCAATGGAAACTCAGCCCAAACATTTCAGTGATCTGTTTCGCACAAACGGAAGTGGTAGCACGTGCAAGTTGCTTGCCAACCATATGCGCAGTCCATGATCCGCCGCAAGCGGCAGCAATCTAGCGAGCTGGCATTTCCATTACCTTTGCCATGACACGCTCGGCTGATACCCCGCCAGGACTGGTGTCCAGACGCACTGGCAGCTTAGGATATCAGATCTCAGACATGACTCCGACGTCCAAAACAAGCATCCGTGACATCACGTGACGCACCCTTGTTACGCAGAGGTGAGTTCGAGGTCAGACAGCTGGGGTGACTTCTGTCTGTCCCAGGAGCCGGCGCACGTGCGCCACCGTCTCTATCACACTGTCTGCAGATATGCCAAGGGCGTGCAGGGCCTCCTTAAACGACCTGTTTAGGGGGTGCAGGCGGCCAGGCCACAAGCAAATAGACATCGGCTGGGGATTTGCAGCATTTTTAAAGTTAAGTCCTGAGGTAGGTGGATTAAGATACGGATTTCTATTTGGACTCGATATTTAAATGTAATTGAATGGATTGGAATCCCGGTATCGAAATCTCGACTGATATGAACAATCTCATGATAAAAAGGAGGACGGGCGACTAAGTGAGGTGCAGTAGGTATTCGTCACGGTATGTATGGTAGCACGTGCCCATAAATCTTTAACCGGGAGAAACTTATGCCGGTTTGATTTGGAACTGTTCCACCGGACAAATCTCCAGAATAATCTATTCAATCCCCAGTTCCCCAAAATCTTAAGTCATCCGCTAAGAGACTTCTACTGAACGCGGTGCTTCTTCCGCAGTGGTCAAAGTCACTCATGAAGCTCCGCCACACGATATTCGTCGATCGCTTTTGGTCAATGGCAGTGGCTTGCTGCAGCTCCTCCCCATACAGTCAGTGGAACGACACTTTCGACTCGTCACTTATCGGCTAGTGGGTCGGATGTTCATACGGGCTCACGCTCTTCAGTTCCACACAGTCGAAGTCGCCTTCTTGCCGCGGACTTCGCGTTTGACCCGATGTGGCCATTACTCATTGGAGCGCTTTCCTGGAAAATAGTGCGCATGGAAGAGTTGAAGAGCCTTGCACGTGGTCATAAAAAGACACGTTGTCCCGCAAGAGTGGGCGCACGCAAACCTCGGCCCCAGCGCCCGTCCGCCCCCCCCCCCCCCCACACCATAACTTGCGTGAGTCGATGTGTGTCAAAGTCGGTGAGTGAATGAAGCTTGACTAGGTGCCTCAGCTGGGTGGCCAGCTAGGTGGCTGGGTGGCATAGGCAGGGTATTTAGGTGGCTTGACTCTCGCTCCGGGAGAGGTCTCAGTGCTGGCGCGCTCCTGCAACAAGAGCAACCCTGGGCCTCTTTGTATAGCTAGATCTATATAATGAAGCAGTCGATACATGAACCTAAAACAGCCGGAGAACACCGAATCGACCGACTTCAGATAGACCTAAGACACTTGGCACGGGGACGTTATGGCTCAGAAGTTGGCGCGTCGGATTCCCGTGTGGGTGCTTGGGTTCGAATCCCGGTTGTGTCATGATCCTTGAGATTTAATATCGCTAACGCAGTCGCTGGCTCTCAATCAATGGGATGTGGCGGCGTACGTCGCGTTCCCGTACAAAGGCACTTAAGATGCGGATTCGAACACCCCATCGCTGAAGACTGTTGTGAACATGATCAGATGATATCTTGAAGCATCATCTCAATTAATTTTTGCTGTCGTTATCTAGACGTGGCAGGGACTTCAGTCGTCACCCAAATCTATGCCAAACGTATATCGACGCGATACCATTGGCGTTGTATGTGATTGTGCCACCGCATTCCACGTGAAGGCGTCCAAAACACGTCGCATCACGTGAACTCACACAAGTCACGACCGCCTTCCGAAGGTTGTCAGCATATCTGTGGAAGTGGACGAGAACGTACTTGATTGAAGGTGCAGAATGGCGATCACACAATGCTCAATTAGGCAGGCAGGCTTGCAAACTTGTCGAGATTTTCCAGACCAGGCACTGGCATTTTTCAAACCAGGCACATAAGTTCGTGTTGAATTCAAGAAATAGCGTTGCTGCTAGACGGCAGACTCGGGATCATGCTGTACCGTCAAATGATGATTCTCTTAGCTCCCCGAAGGTCCTGCTCCATGCTCACGCTGTAATACCCTTCCCCCCGCCCCTCTTCCTGTTACAGAGTTTTATCTGCATGTACCGCTGCAACAGAGCATAAGGCTGTTGAAATATGGCTTCTGCACCAGCGCCCTCGCGCCTGGAAAGGCCGTCTGAGAATCCTGTAGCTAACTGCACAGGTCATCATCGCACCCGGGAACATGCGCGAAGCTGTCGTAGGATAATGTTGCTCACCAACCGAGGGTTGTTAAAGCTCTCGCCGTAATATATGAACAAGTGAAGGGCCTGGGACGCCACAGGAAATCCATGTTCATATATAGTAATCCACCCATATTCATATATTCCCACAAAACCCCATGTAACGCGTTATAAAATCCCAAACGGTCTCCTAACAACACCCTGGTGAGGTTTACTCCACAATCGCGCCTACCACGCACATGGCCATTCGAAGCGAGTAGCATGGAAGACCACGGCGTGGTATCTTACTTCATCATTTGACATGTTCCGCTCGTTCGTGCGCTCTCGGTGTAATGATGGATGCGTTTGGGGTTGTACAGGTGAGTGTTTTATATTTGAGGATTCGGATTCACATAATTTGAAAATATTTCATTAGAATCGAACTTTGCAAATCTTCGAGTTCTGAAAACGGTGATCGAACTCCTGAAAAGCAAGGTTTAAATGCAACACACAACATCATAAGACTACCGCTTAGGTGTTCAAATACAGGTAAAACATTTTGCATCGCTTAACATTTCCTTTACATAAACTAATCGCGACACCTTTATACCTGTAATGCATCTCACTGAACCGCCCGTCCTCCGTTTTATCATGACATTGTACATATCAGTTTTTTTCGAGATTTCGACACCGATATTCCAATTACTTTTCATTGCATGAAAATCATGTCTTCATCATCGATCAAGATGTTGCAGACGGTCTATTAAAGTCAGTCTTCTAAGGCCAAGGATTAATTCAACGAGTGCAGTCATATTACGGTTTGTGTTCAGTTGGTGTATACCACCAATACGCTGCGTGTTTCACTCGAGATATACAATGAAGAGTGCGAGTATGCATCTAAAAATGGGTCGTGCGCTCGCTAGTTCGCAAAAATTGCTGAAAATCATTGGACATCCAATTTGTCGTCTTTCAGTGTGGTCTCTCAGTCAGTGTGGTCTCTCAGTCAGTGTGGTCTGAGACCTGGAGATGATGGCCTCGTTTTCCCGTGTTCAGCGTCTGAGCACGTTATTTGTAAAACATCAGCAGGTGTGAGGCGTCCTGGAATTCGGAAAGGTGTGTTGTGTTCAGGGACCGTCGTGGAAACGTTTTGCCAAGTTTCTGCCAATGGTTATACGAACAAAAATATCCACTTTTTCTTTTAAAAAATTATAAGGAAAAGAGGAGGCGGGTCTAAACATCATATATATATATATATATATATATATATATATATATATATATATATATATGCCAGTCTTCTTAGAATTGGCATTTCATATGACACACACTGTAGCTATTCATATGACACAAACATCTGGAACAGGCTGGCTGTAAAGCTATGGGGGCAAGGCATGTCATCATACCATAAAACTTATCGGAGCCGGGATGATTTGCACGCACGGCAAGTGACGCGGTTATGAGGCATATCATATCGTAACTGATGTCATTAGAACGCAAACGACAGTAAGTTGCAATACTTCGCAGTCACCACGGTCTTACGGCCAGATGACGTGACTTTGCACGTTAATGCTTTGTAAAACAAGAATAGCTTAGCGGACAACACAACATCAAATATTCATGTAATCAGAAACAAAAGGAAAAGCCATGATATGGGCACTGCCTTTCTTGGATTTCTTGATTGCATGCAATGAAAGCAGCCTAAGCTTTGTGCACGTTGCGAGCTATGCTCAATTCATGCACATTGCATGTATTTTGCACTTGGATTCCAAACATTTCCACAGTTTGATATGATTCATCATCGCAGAACGTCACTCCAATCTTGCAATATTTGTTGTATTCGGTCAAGGTGAGACTTTCCGAACATAATATGTGTTAACACACCGTTTTGACTTCAACAGTGAAATGCAAATCAACGCGTGATGATGGCTTCAAACACTCAGGAGTCCTAACCGCTGCGTCATCAGGATCGTTAAACATGGTCTCCGAAAGCAGCCGGTGACGATCGCACCCCTGCATCATTCACACCAACCCCTCTGCAAGCCGAGCAAGGCAACTCCCCGCGCGCCCTAAGCCGCGTGCGGCCCCCACATCCCATCATCAGTGCATCGAAAGCACGCCGGCGATGGCGCTCTGGAAGCCGGCGTTGTAGTCGCAGGCCACCTCGTTCTTCACGTAGTCGTTGCGGTCGTCGGCGTAGTTATCGTTAATGTCGGGACCGCCGACCAGGGCGCCGTACAGCACCTGCGGGTTCGGGTTGGGCGAATTGAGCTGGTCCCAGCTGCAGGGCGCCGGCGCGTTCGGGCAAGAGGCGCCGGCGTGGTGCGCGCGCACCGGCGGGTTGTTCCCGAAGCCGACCACGTAGCTGCGGCCGCTATCGCCGAAGATGTAGTTGAGCTGCTGCTCGGCCATCTGGCGGTAGGAGTCGGGGTTGAGGCCGGCCTTGGCCGCCGCCACGCAAATGAAGGCCACGTTGCCGGCGTGCCGCAGCGAGCCCCACTGGTTGAGCCACACGAGGCCCTTCGGAGTGCGCGGCGCTCCCGACACGATCCAGTCGCAGAACTGGGTGACGAGATCGCCGTATTGCGAATCCTTGGTCAGCGTGTACATGAGCAGCTGCACGCCGACGTGCTTGCTGTCCCAGGAGAACTCGCCGGCCTTGCCGTTCAGGTCGCTGAACTCCTGGAAGAAGCCCTTGGCCGCGTCGAGGTAGGAGCTGTCCTGCGTGGCGCGGTACAGCCAGGCCGCGGCCCAGGCCAGCTCGTCGCCGTAGCCGCTCGACCTGAAATAAGTTAGAGCGAACGATGTCAAACGGCGGACCTCGCAACGCGAAGAGGCTGAAAGGCAACCCTAAGGTGCGTGGCTACCGACGCGGACTGCTGTTTTTCTTGAGGCAATGTGCTGGAACCGTCCCAAACAGCTGGCCCGACTCTGTTCAGTATCGTCCGTTCAGACACGCTCCCGACAGCCCTGGCTGTTATGTCGCCGCATCCACAGGTGCAGACCGTTCGAGTGTCACGGCCTACCGCCTGCCAGCAAATGGACCGCAGAAAAAAATGAGAACTATATATTTCATCGGCTAAGAACATCTGGAGACCAACTCTTGTTTGGGTCGGCAGTACGATTCTTGCAGCGTAACTCTATGCCCTCGAAAAGTCTTATGCGATTTAAACGTAATTAGCATTGACACAAATGCGGCCACGAGTAACTGAAATCAATGCAGAAACTAATCCGGCATTGCACGTTGCAGTAGCGATTTTGAGTGAGAGCTCAGTGTGATTTCAGTGCCAGAACTGTTAAAGTAAGGCGACTCGGTATCACAAAACTCTAAACAAAGATAGCAATGGATGAAAGCATCACGGCAAACACTCCTCTTTTCCAACAGCAGCGTCCAGCTCACCCGTAGAAGCTGACGGCGTCGGTGATGCTGTCCTGGTACTTTCCGCGGTGCGTGTTCGCGAAGTCGTACAGCTGCTTGGCGTGGTCGAGCAGCTGTCCCGAGTAGGCGGCGTCCGAGTCCTTGAAGAGGATCGAGGCGGCGGCCATGGCCGCGGCCGTCTCGCCGGCCAGGTCAGAGCCCGGAGCACCAGCCGAGATCTTGTAGCCGGGTCGGTCCATGTTCATGTCCTCGGCACGGCCCCACACCGAGTGGTCCGCCTTCACCGTTGCCGCACTGTCGCACACACATGGGTGGCATGAGACACATGGGTGGCGTCAGACACATGGGCGGCATCAGACACATGGGCGGCATCAGACGTATGGGTGGCATCAGACACATGGGTGAGATCAGACACATGGTTAGCGTCAGACACATGGGTAGCACTAAACACGTGGGTGGCATCAGACACAGGTGGCGTCAGACACATTGGTGGCACGAGACGCATGGGCGGCATGAGACACATGCGCGGCGTCAAATACATGGGCGGCATTAAACAGAAGACAGGCTTGGCAAGCTCTTGTTTGCTGACAGGTGCCGACAAACAGCAGAACTCCGTGACGTTTCAGATAGACGGAAGTTCTCGTGCGCATAGGTGACCTTAGCGACAATGGCGGGCGGCAATAGAAGGACGGTTACCATCGCACCACCTCCGCGTTCTGTGTTGTTCAGGGGATTTGTATGCTACGTGATCGTCAAAGTTCTTGACATTAAGGTGCCTCTCATGGCTCGTGAGGAAAAACTTGAGTTCTCCACGTCTGCGCTTCCTCCGTCGACGATCAGCCGGCCCCTGGCCTCAAACATATCGCGCTCGTTCCTGCACCGTCTGACAGCTTTGAACTTGGAGTGGTTTTCCTCTCATAGCGATAGCCAAATGAATGGCAGGTACGTTATCGTGATCGTCACGAAAAATAACCCGTCGTTGTAATGACTAGACAAGTCCTATCTAGGCGACGGGACACCGAGAACACCAGAAAAGGCTCCCTCACCTGGCCGTAAAAGTCGGTGGCACCGACGTGCGCCTTGATGAAGAAGTCCGTGCCCCACTTGACGGCCGCCTTCACGTAATCGCTCTGCCCGGCGTCCGCGTAGGCGTCCGCGAAGTCGATGGCGCCCCACGCCATCACCGTCATGGCGGCAGCCATGGGGAAGCCGAACTTGACGTGGTCGCCGGCGTCGTAGTAGCCGCCGGTGAGGTCCTCGCCATTCTGACCGCGGTCGTTCATCGCCGAGTTTCCGCGCCAGGGGATCCTGTTGTCGGGCGGCAGCGCGCCGGACCGCTGCGCCTCGTAGAAGAGCAGCGACTTGCCGAGGACGTCTCTGTAGTCGTAGGGCAGGTCCGGAGGAGGCTTGGTCGGCCCGGTGGGCGGCGGCACGGTCGGGCCGGTTGGCTTGGGCGTGGTGCTGCCGCCGCCGCCGGGACAGAGTTCGGCGCCGTCCAGCTTCACGCTGATCACCTCAGCCTTGCTGCTGAAGTAGGCGTTGAAGGCGAGCGCCATCTTGGCGCCGGCGGGCTGCGTGCCGTCGCCGGCGTTATTCTTGAGCGTGAAGACGGTGTTATCCGTGGATGACGCCGTGGCCGCCCACGTCTCGAACTTGGTCAGCGTCTTGTCGAACGTCATCTCCACCGTCCAGCTTGAGACGGCGTTGGGGAAGGTGAGCATGAGGTTGGCGCTCATGCCCTCGTTCCAGACGTTCGTCTCCTGGACGATGCCGCTGGAGACGCACGCGCCCGCGGCGTGCACGGCGGGCGCTCCAGCGGCCGCCAGCAGCAGAAGCGGCAGCAAGCTGGCCATGACGTTACTCGGCTGTCGACGCTCGGCGCGTGGCCAAGGACGAGGTCTTGCCGACGGCGCGACGCCGTTTGCTGCACCGACACACTTCGGTTGGCTTTTAACTGACGCCGGAGCGTGACACGTGTAATTGCTCTCACGCGGTTCTGCAGGGGTATATAAGTCTGATTGTAATGGCATCCGCGACCACAGCCAGACTCGGCGGGGCTCACAAATCGTTGTATAGCTTGGTTTGTATTATCGGTTATCCTTATTGACGGGGGGGGGGGGGGGGGCTACCCATCATGTGTCTGCGGCTTACATACCATTCTTGCACCCGGGAGCTGAGGTCTGCCGCAGGAATACCTGCGCACAGTATCAGAAGGGTCTTACTGTTCGGGCGTAAGTGTGCTACAGCATATGTATGGTAAGCTCTTTGATGGGCTTTAACTGTGTTCGAATGAGCGGTCTCCCCGACCGCCGCAGGTGACTGGTGACACTCCTTTGCTGTGCCGGGTTGAAGCGCGTGCTTCTTGTACATTCCGGAAAGCCCTTTGAGGGTTGAAATTGACCCCCGAGTGCGTCTTCAACATTTTTTGCACACCATAAAAATAAGACCCTCTGCTTTTGTTAGTCTTTCTCAAACTGCATGTGTGTGTGTTTACCGCACATGTGTTTATTTTATGTGAAAGAAATGCTAAACGATACAGACTGCTCTATTTGTATTTGAATACCTAAGTGATAGTTTAATGATGTCGTATGTTGCACTTAAATCTTGCTTTTCAGGACTCCAATGCCCGTTTTTAGAAATCGAAGATTTGCAAAATTCGATTGCATTGAAATGTGTTCAGATTATGTGAATTCGAATCCTCAATTATAAAACACTCACCTGTACAACCCCAAACGCATCCACCATCACACCGAGAGCGCACGAACGAGCGGAACATGTCAACTGATGAAGTAAGATACCACGCCTTGGTTTTCCATGCTACTCGCTTCGAATGGTCATGCGCGCGGCAGGCGCAATTGTCGAGTAACCCTCACCAGGGTGTTGTTAGGAGCCCGTTTAGGATTTTACAACGCATTACACGGGGTTTTGTGGGATATATGAATATGCGTGGATTGCTATATATGAACATAGATTTCCTGTGGCGTCCCCATCCCTTCACCTGTTTACATATTACGGCGACAGGCTTAGAAAGCTCCGATGGTGAACAACATTATCCTACAATGGCTTTGCACATGTTCCCGGGTGCGGTGATGACCTGTGTAGTTGACTACAGGATTCTCAGACGGCCTTTCCAGGCGCGAGGGACGCCAGTGCAGAAGCCATACTTTAGCAGCCTCATACCCGGTTGCAGTAGTACATGCAGATAAAACCCGGTTACAGGGGGGAGGGGATGGTGGTGGACGGAAATGACGATGTGAGCATGGAATAAGACCTACGGGGCGTTGACAGAATAATTATGTACTTCCCCACACGAATATAATCAATGATACTAATCATCATCATTGGACTGCACAGCACGATTCACAGTCTCGTTTCTAGCAGCAAGGATATTTCTTGGGCTCAACAAGACCTAATGTACCTGGTTTTGAAAATGCCAGTGTGTGGTTTGGTAAAAATCGAGAACTCTGCAAGCCTGTCCGCCTGATTGAGCGTTTCGTGATCAAGTGATCTTGTGATCTTTGTGCACTTACGATCAAGCACGTTTTCGTCCCCTTGCACATATATGGTGACGACATTTGGAAGGTTGTCGTAGCTATTTTAAGTTCACGTGTAGCGCGGTGTTCTGGGTGCCCTACGTGGAACTGGTGGCACAATCACATACAATGCCAAAGGTATCGCGTCGATATACTTTTGGCATAGATTTGGGTGACGACTGAAGTCCCCGCCACGTCTAGATAACGACAGCAAAAATTAATTGAGATGATGCTTCAAGATATCATCTGATCATGTTCACAGCAGTCTTCAGCGATGGGGTGTTCGAAGCCGCATCTTAAGTGTCTTTGTACGGGAACGCGACGTACTCCGCCACATCCCATTGACTGAGAGCCAGCGACTGCGTTAGCGATATTAAAGCTCAAGGATTATGACACCACTGGGATTCGAACCCGAGCACCCACACGGGAATCCGACGCGCCAACTTCTGAGCCATGACGTCCCCGTGCCAAGTGTCTTAGGTCTATCTGAAGTCGGTCGATTCGGTGTTCTCCGGCTGTTTTAGGTTCATGTATCGACTGCTTCATTATATAGATCTAGCTATACAAAGAGGCCCAGGGCTGCTCTTGTTGCAGGAGCGCGCCAGCACTGAGACCTCTCCCGGAGCGAGAGTCAAGCCACCTAAATACCCTGCCTATGCCACCCAGCCACCTAGCTGGCCACCCAGCTAAGGCACCTAGTCAAGCTTCATTCACTCACCGACTTTGACACACATCGACTCACGCAAGTTATGGTGTGGGGGGGGGGGGGAGGGGGCGGACGGGCGCTGGGGCCGAGGGCTGCGTGCGCCCGCTCTTGCGGGACAACGTGTCTTTTTATGACCACGTGCAAGGCTCCCCCACTCTTCCATGCGCACTATTCTCCAGGAGAGCGCTCCAATGAGTAATGGCCACATCGGGTCAAACGCGAAGTCCGCGGCAAGAAGGCGACTTCGACTGTGTGGAACTGAAGAGCGTGAGCCCGTATGAACATCCGACCCACTAGCCGATAAGTGACGAGTCGAAAGTGTCGTTCCACTGACTGCATGGGGAGGAGCTGCAGCAAGCCACGGCCATTGACCAAAAGCGATCGACGAATGTCGTGGGGCGGAGTTTCACGAGTAACTTTGGCCACTGCGGAAGAAGCACCGCGTTCAGTAGAAGTCTCTTAGCGGATGACTTAAGATTTTGGGGAACTGGGGATTGAATAGATTATTCTGGAGATTTGTCCGGTGGAACAGTTCCAAATCAAACCGGCATAAGTTTCTCCCGGTTAAAGATTTATGGGCACGTGCTACCATACATACCGTGACGAATACCTACTGCACCTCACTTAGTCGCCCGTCCTCCTTTTTATCATGAGATTGTTCATATCAGTCGAGATTTCGATACCGGGATTCCAATCCATTCAATTACATTTAAATATCGAGTCCAAATAGAAATCCGTATCTTAATCCACCTACCTCAGGACTTAACTTTAAAAATGCTGCAAATCCCCAGCCGATGTCTATTTGCTTGTGGCCTGGCCGCCTGCACCCCCTAAACAGGTCGTTTAAGGAGGCCCTGCACGCCCTTGGCATATCTGCAGACAGTGTGATAGAGACGGTGGCGCACGTGCGCCGGCTCCTGGGACAGACAGAAGTCACCCCAGCTGTCTGACCTCGAACTCACCTCTGCGTAACAAGGGTGCGTCACGTGATGTCACGGATGCTTGTTTTGGACGTCGGAGTCATGTCTGAGATCTGATATCCTAAGCTGCCAGTGCGTCTGGACACCAGTCCTGGCGGGGTATCAGCCGAGCGTGTCATGGCAAAGGTAATGGAAATGCCAGCTCGCTAGATTGCTGCCGCTTGCGGCGGATCATGGACTGCGCATATGGTTGGCAAGCAACTTGCACGTGCTACCACTTCCGTTTGTGCGAAACAGATCACTGAAATGTTTGGGCTGAGTTTCCATTGGCTGATGTGTGCCCATGATGAGCGTCACGTTTTCTTTTGCTTTGTTTCCTTAGCGTATCCGCGCGAAATATGCCGATATAATAACACCAATCGTCTGTATAAGAACAGCTGGTTGCTTTGTGCTCCCATCATACAAAACTCGTCGTGGACATAATGCGCATTACGCAGTTTTATCATATCTGGTATTCATATTTATCATTTGCAAGCTTGGCCGTTGCCATGGTGTGTGCTTGTTGTGCACCATTGCAAGTATACTACATGTTTTCGAGCATTCACAGAAGCCTGTATAGTGTTTGCGGCTTCATTTCGCAGATGGCTGTGCTTATGAGAAATTTCACACCGTGCGCAGGTGGCAGATTATACGGTTTACCCGTCATTGTGTATTTGAAAAACTGACGTCTCGTTTTATCAAAATGACATCGGTATCAGAACCGAGATGCTTGGACTGCGCTACCCTGGCACGAATCTTTTCCCGGCCATTGCTGGCCATCCAGATCGCCCCTGGCTCTATCCGCGGGCAGGGACCACCTCCAGAGTCCTCGAAAATACCAGCCTCCGACCCTCCCTCCAACCGATGAGTATCTCAAACAGGCGCCGCTGAACACCCCCGCTGACGCTGCTACCGGCAATCCGCCGGGCTCGCTGACGTATTACCGGAGGGATATGCTAAACATGTCATTCAAATCGGACTCCTTTGATTCGCGCAATCAAAACGTGCCTATGTGGAAAATAAGAGCTTCGTGGAAGCCCAGCAGACGTGCCACAGCAGTTTTTCGACCTGCGGCCCGGCTCAGCCGCCCGACACGTCATCTACCGAACGGCCGAGGCGTCGCTCCGCCCGGGCGCCAGCCAACGCTCTGGGTCAACGATCGGCCTGCCCGAGGGGACGGGAGAGCACGACCGAGGGCGCGGACGCGGGACGACACCGCGCGCCGTGCGACCTGCAGCTCGGCACAGGCACAGCATCGAGAACACGCCCGGGTGCGCCGGCGCCGGACGAGACAGGGTCTGTAGCCATGTGACCGTGACACGGGAGATGGGTGTCGCCCAGAAACTGGCAGCCTGGCGTGGCAACCGCGTAGCGGCAATCTGCCTAGCGGTCAACCATCCTCCTCAGCATTAGACCGGCTGGTCTACTCCACCACTTCGGCTGTTACAAAAGGCCTAGTTTAGGCTCTCGCTCTCACTGTTTCGCTGGGACTGGCGGGGACCCGTGCATCCTGTGCTGAAGCAACCGTGATTTTCATCGTTTTTCAAGCATATAGGGGTTACCCTTCATCCCGGACCAGCCAAAATGAAATGTGACTGACGATGGACAGTCGGTCTTTGTCGATTGGTTCCTGTGTGAGTGCCTCTGCTTTGGTGTTGGCCTCGTGAGTGCTATGTTTGGCCCTTTTCTTGCCAGCCTGAAAATCCTTTTATCCTTTTAATCAGTCCTTTTTTTTAAAGTTCCTTTTAATCAGTCCTTTTTACATAAAAATGCAGGGCTGTGTCGTGTATCAACACCAGATAACCGGCTGGGCGACGAACCAACAGGTTGTAGGACTAAGGAGAAGGCTAACGGACAACTGAACGGTGCAGGAAACAATTCCGAAGCCTTCACTGAATACAGGAAGACTACTGGAAGAACTTTGAGGGACCCAGAGCAGGTCAAAGTCGGAAATATCGCTCTGAATACGGATATGGATTGAATTTGAATATGGATTTGAATATGTTGCCAACTTGTCAAACGCGAGAAACCGGTAGGTGGTGAACACCATCACAACTTGCATCAGGACATTGTTTTATTACGTCATACGTTGTTGTCGACGACAGAGCGCAATATGGTAGCACTTCAGGCCCAGGGGATTCAAGAATTTGAAAATATTTATAGACACCAACAATTGGTTTTAGGTTTAAACAGATATGCTAGACATCTTACGGGGGGGGGATTTTCCGTAGATCGGTAGTTAAGGTTCTTTATTTTCTCGCTTCACTCTTGCGCGGCACCTGCCATACTGGCCATCATTATGTTATGAGCGGTTTTTCAATCACATCAATTTTTTAGTTAAATCTCTCGACGATATGTTACGTACGATTTTGGCTGTCGGCTAGTTGCCCTTCTGTATTGATCTGCAGGTAATAATCACCGAGGCATTGCTCTGTCATAAAGCAACTCTCATGAGTGACTGTAAATGGTGGCGAAGACATTGGCTCACCGACATTACATGGACTTCTACGAAACAAGTGTTTTCGTCCTAACATGGGCTGCAAACGTCGCTACTGGGATTGCGCAACAAGCATTCCTTTATTCACACCGTCTCATGCATAATTGTCACCGGTCATATTAAAGGGAGGGTTTTAGTTTGGTCGCCACACACAGTCTGCAGGTTATGAGCGACAATCAGCCTCCCTCAGTTATCAGCGCAACCATACAGCTGTACATCATGCATACCTCGGAATTTAGCCGCAGTTTATAGTAGCCGCCTGGTGCGAGGCTCACCGCGACATCGCTGTGTCGCCCCCACCCTCTCTCGTTACTGAATTATGCCGGAATCTCCGTTGAGCACACACGGATCCCACATCGGCTTCTTAATTCCTTGTCGCCGGAATCTCACATCGCCACGCCGGAATCCTCATCGGTTCAAATGTGCGAACCTGGCCATCTGGCGCAGCTGTAATGATTTTAACAACGGTACCCTCAGTGACCAAATCCACTGCCGCTGCTAAGGGTCAGTTGCTCATGATTATCTTAGCAAACCCCCTTCTGTGGCCGCATGTAAATCCACCAGCGGAAAAAAATCAGCTAGCTTTTCCGACAGCCCAATGCCCTTTTCCGCCTTCCGTCTTCTAGGAGTCGCAAGAAAACAGCTGAAAAGCAAGTCCCAAGTTCTGCGTGCCGCAAATCGACCAACGGTACCCTACACGTGCTTTTGCTACTTTCACTAGCGGCCAGCGACGTGCGAAAATGCGCCCCACTTCATTTGTGAGTCACAGAGAGATCGATCAACAGCCAACTTCCTAATTTCTACAGGAAGTGGGACCTTTCAACCCGCGGCTAAACAACCGCCTACGTACCTCCAAGGACTTCCTCCATCACCCCCTGCGGGTAGTCACTAGGTAAGGCATCTGTAACACCTTTAGCCTGTCGTGACCAATTCCCTCGGTTGCAGTCGGGAAAAATTCACAGCCACCCCGAGCTGTGCGTAATTTATGAGCTAAGCAAGGTTAGAGATGTTTACGTCAAATGTACGGGTCTGACCACGGCGCATCCCTCACTATGGCACATAATCAGGCCACTCATTATTCACTAAACAGCTATTTTCCTACAGACCGTTCATTGAAGCGAGTAGGGAAGTACCAGGCGGGGGATCAGCACGTCATTTACACAACACACATATAGCGACGTATTTGTGCATTAGGTACACTTATACTATGATACAATGCGAGCACGAAAGGAGTGCACGACATATACGAATCAGGAATCATGTGCGAGTACGTAGGCTCAACATTCCTACAGAACTTTCCCTTCTTTAAGTAGCATTAATACGACACAGGTTACAAAACTTTGAAAGGGGCCGGGAAAATCAAAAGAACGCCGAAGGGTCGGCCATTCCTCACCGGTCTGATATTTTACAAGAGGTGTAGGAACCGAGCGCAGGTCGCCGGCGTGCAGGCCAATATGGTCTTCAATCAATCGCGTGCGTTCGTGCCAATATCCCTCCGACAGCCCACACCGTGCTTCTAAAGGTGCCCATACTCCGACGGGGTCGGTGTTTTTAAAGGCTCCCTCCGCCCCTATTGATCGTCTTGACTCGCGTGTCCGGAACGGGCGCCCGGTCAAACGTAACAAAAGAGCTGTACTCGTACATGAAAAAAAAACATATGTGGCCAGCGACGGATAGACACGCCGTGCGTCATATCTGAAGGTAGCAATTTCAATCCCGCCCCTCGTCCCCGGGATCAGAAAATACGCGTGCTGCAAGAATAACCTACTTACACTAAAAAAACTTGTGGCCTGCGCCTGGGTAGATACAGCCGCGTGCCAGCAGACGTTTGTTGCGTAAGCGGAATGGTTTCAAATAAGAAACAATGCTGCAGCTGTGTTCGTTGGGTTACAAAACATGTGGATAACCTCTTGGCATTAAGTGCAACTGAAGAACAAAGCATGCAAGTCTAACATTTCCAACTGGTCTCTTGCGGTATTTCGAAGTTTCGACTGCGCTTTGCCCATGGCACAAATTGATGTTTCCAAAATGTGCTTTTCAAGCATTGTACTTTAGTTTACGGATGCTGCACATCTTGGCGCGAATGCGTCAGTGTTGAAAATGATGGTGCGCGAAACTGGAATTTGGAGGGATTCCCAGCCGGGGGTTTAGCATTGGGAAATGGGGACACGCCGCGATTTCAAAGCGGGCTTCGGTAGGTGCCACGTCATTGATGTAGTTATGCGAAATAAGTTGTGGGACTGAGCAGGAAAGCTGGTCGCAATTGCATTCAAAGACACGAAAACGGGCTTCTCCCCGGATTTGAACCGGTTTTTTTCCATTTCCATGTTATTGCTTAACTACCGTACCGTTCTCAATCTGGCTATGCGGCATCTGGAACTCATGTGTCAATATTTATCAAGTTGCATATTCCATCTAGCACCATGAACAGCCCAATCGAAGTCGTTTGTTATGATGATAATCATCGGATGATTTACTGTCAGGTTTATGATCTGGCCGCGGTTGCAACTTGCTACTGAAGAGATGAAATGGGACATAACCAAGGAAAGTAAGTTAGTGCATGCCCACTGTCCCATGCAAGGATTTGGTGATGGTTAAGGGATGTAATGATTGTATTGAAATGTGATAACATTTTAAGTGCTGTGATGTGATCCTAAACCTTAGTCAGAAAAGTTTCTGTAGTCATTTCAAGGGGTTTCCCATCCTATCAATGTGGGGGGACAGCCAGAACTTGTGATGGGGCTACCATAATGTGTGATGGAAGGGGCTACCATTATTTGTGATGGGACATGCATTTTCGTGAGGAGGTTTCAGACCTGTTGATAGTACCTACATGCTGTGAACAAACTAACAGACCCCCACAAGAGCTTTTAGATTTAAACATCAGGATAGGTTATCATTCTGTAGTGTCTTAATAAGCTAATGATGTTGGTCTGTCCGGGTTCATAAAATTGTTGTTTGAGCTGCTTATAGTATATCTTCACTCACTTATCTGCTTGTCTTGCTATGTGCTTATGGCTGTTGAGTCATTTGTGTCACTGCACATGGTAGTGTTTATGAATCATGTAGCCTAAATAGATTTCCTAATCACCAGATTTCTGAAGTATATTCAGAAGCATTGTGAAAAACTGCACTTCTGCCTAATTTGGGTGATGGGTGGCATCTAAAGCCCTCAAAGTCCTCCCTAAGTCCTCTTATTTGCTATGTCATGCCATCATTTAACCCCTGTCAGAGGAACAGATGTAGTTATGAGTATCTCATCATGATATCTTCCCTTTCCATTATACACCCCTTGCATGAGATACTGGGCCATTTGCTCCCAGTGAGGCCTGCTGCTGACCCGCTCTTCCGGCAGACTTTGCCGCCCACCTTCCACGCATACGGGATGCCATCTCACGTTGCTCCTTCCTGGCTGTGGACTGCGAGTTCAGCGGGCTGACGACAGGCGGCACCACCTGTCAATATGACACGCCAGCTGAACGATACGCCCACCTGCGGCGTACGGCCGCCGGCTTCCTCGTCATCCAGTTTGGGCTGGCTGCCTTCACGCTGGACCAGGAGCGGGGCAGGTCGGTGGGCTGTGTGGCCCGGCGGTGGTGGGTTTGAATCTGAGATATCACAGTTTTTGTTGGTGCTATTGCAATCATTGGCTGAGTGACGTGGTGATGAGAGGCTTGGCAGGTGTGTTTATGTGTATATTAGCTATTTGCTTGTGGCACCACAATGCGACTACAGTCAGCTGCACCTAGGCAGTGCGATTGTTACTGTAATCTACTAACAGTGAACTCTGACCGCAGGTACACGCAGGAGACGTTCAACTTTTACCTGTTCCCGCGCCACCCAAGCCAAGGCTCATTCCTCTGCCAGCCGTCCAGCCTCGAGTTCCTCTCGGGCAATGGCTTCGACTTCAACAAGCTGATCAAGGATGGTACGAGCTCGCCACAACTCTATGTCCTGACCGACTTCACACTCGCGTGTGCTTGCCTGCAGCAGCTGTGTGCGGCTGACTGCGGCCCTGCCTCTGCATTTCGTTTGGTTCAATGGTGTCTGGAGTTTTGGGAAAGGAAGCGCTATAGATGGAGGAACCATTCTAAAATATCACTGTCATGCCCGTTTTTGAAGCTGATTTTCTTCAGAAAACGCACCTAAACCAAACAAAACAAGACAAAGCCTTCCATACCTCTGACGGGGCAACTTCATCCAAACGTTTATGAATTGTGCGTCGAAGTCACAGCTAGGTGCATAACTGGTGTTGGCATAATTTACTTGAAGACCTGTTGTACTTACCCTCGACTACTGCCAAGCGGCCCCACCCCATGCCATGTCACCAGACGGAGCTGGTGGCTTGACATGACGCCCCGCCCCGTGACTCCCGCCCCGTGACACCCGCCCCGTGACACCCGCCCCGACACCCGCCCCGTGACACCGCCCCGTGACACCCGCCCCGTGACACCCGCCCCGTGACACCGCCCGTGACTCCCGCCCGTGACTCCGCCCCGTGACACCCGCCCCGTGACACCCGCCCCGTGACACCCGCCCCGTGACACCCCCCGTGACACCCGCCCCGTGACACCCGCCCCGTGACACCCGCCCCGTGACACCCGCCCCGTGACGCCCGCCCCGTGACACCCGCCCCGTGACACCCGCCCCGTGACACCCGCCCCGTGACACCCGCCCCGTGACACCCGCCCCGCCCGTGACCCGCCCCGTGACACCCGCCCCGTGACACCCGCCCGTGACACCCGCCCCGTGACACCCGCCCCGTGGCACCCGCCCCGTGACACCCGCCCCGTGCACCCGCCCCGTGACACCCGCCCCGTGACACCCGCCCGTGACACCCGCCCCGTGACTCCCGCCCCGTGACACCCGCCCCGTGACACCGCCCCGTGAACCCGCCCCGTGACCCGCCCCGTGACACCCGCCCCGTGACACCCGCCCCGTGACACCCGCCCGTGACACCCGCCCCGTGACACCCGCCCCGTGACACCCGCCCCGTGACACCGCCCCGTGACACCCGCCCCGTGACACCCGCCCCGTGACACCCGCCCCGTGACACCCGCCCCGTTGACACCCGCCCCGTGACACCCCGCCCGTGACACCCGCCCCGTGACTCCCGCCCCGTGACACCCGCCCCGTGACACCCGCCCCGTGACTCCGCCCCGTGACTCCCGCCCCGTGACACCGCCCCCCCGTGACCCGCCCCGTGACACCCGCCCCGTGACACCCCGCTCCTTGACGCTCTGCACGTGACGCCCCGCCTTGCGCCGCCTTAGGCGTACCGTACCTGAAGCCCGCCCAGGGGAGACGCTGCGCGATCAGCTAGAGCGACAGCAGGAGGAAGCCGCCTCGCCGGCCGCCGCCACCACCACGCTGCTGCCGCCGCCGCTGCCAGCGTACCCGACATCAGGCGAGTTCCTCGACAAGGCTGTGTGAGTTCCGGGGCGAGCTGAGGGAGTGATTTAAGAGCGCGGAATCCCGGGAAAAGGCACTTAAAGCACTTGCGGGTCCAACAATATTGGTGTTGCGACCAATTGAACCCAAGGTGTGGGCATGTGCATGCGTCACCGAAGTATTGTCTTGGGCATCACGCCGTTCGCGCATTTGCACGCTACAGCCAACCCATCTGCGCGTTTGTACAAACTAGCCTAGTACACAAACACGCCGCGTTCGTATTCGTGGCGCGCCAGTCTTCAGCGTAGACAGCGGCGGGCAGGATCGCCGCGGACGGCGCAGTTTGCCACGCGGCGGGTGGGGCGCGGCGCCCACGGGGCGGCGGGTGATTGTCCGCCGGGTGTGATGGTGTGTGTCGTGCCGGTCAGATCGCAGGTCGGGGAGTTCCTGCGCTCGTCCGACGAGCACCTGGACTTCCACGCCTGAGCGGCTACCAGCGGAAGATCATGTACGACCACGTCAGCGCCAGGTACGCTGCCGTGGCTGGCTGTGGTACCTAGCCGCTGGTGGGATGGGTTTGCGGTGAACGTTGTGTCTGGGTGGGTGAATTACCGCTGGCGGTGGGGTTTCCGCAAGGCGGTGCAAGTGTTTCACTGTCCGCTGGATCTGCAGTGTCGCGTGCGTACCCAGTATACGCGGATCAGGTTTGTGATCGGATACTAGGCTTCTCGGCACCGTCCATTCTATACACATCATTGCTTGTTTAAAGCCATTCAGCTCCGTGTACTGCACGTGGAGTTGAAATACTGGTGAAAGTACTATATTTACATTGTTTGATGGGGATTCGGAACTCAAATATGCGTTCCTGCGATGTTTTCTGTGATACTCACCTGACCCTTGCATCATACGCCTCTGGTGGCCTCCGTACCGCGGCCCATAAGCCGGCCTCCACTCCGGCCCAGAGCCGACCTCTGTATCGCATTCCTTGACGTGCCTCTGCGCTGCAGCCCCCCCCCCCCCCCCGCCGCGTTCTGAGGAGCCTCTGATCGGCTCTGTAGTGAAGGGTCGCAGCACATGCGCGGTCGGCGACATCTGCCGGGGTCTGTACACTGACCATGTGCTCCGCTGAAGTTCGATTGTCTCTTCGCCTCCGCCCCTGCCAGCCGTGTTCCGGTTTCTGCGCCGGGCCCACTGCACTGGCGTCTGTACCACGACCGTCTGCCGCGACTGTCTAGCCTGTAGCTGCGTCTGGCCCGCCGGCCTCCGCACTCACGCGTCGTTCTCACCGCTTTCTCGCCGCTCTCTCCCCACTGTGGTCGCTGCTTACCGCAGGGTGGCCACACCGCTGGATCTGGAGACGCAGCGCACGCCGGGCGGCCAGCGCACGCTGCGTGTGCGGCGAGCCGCCGGCCCGGAAGAGCGGCGCCGCCGACTGCGCGAGCGGCTGGACGAGGCGGCCGGCTTCTGCCAGGTCATCTCGGCCATCAGCGAGTCGGTGGGTGACGCCACGGGGTCGTCACGGCCGTCTGCGCAGCGCGGGCAAGCAATGTCACTGTGACGCGAAATTTCTTTTGCGCTGGCGCGGTCATGATAAGAGAACGACAAGGGTCTACTCGATTACACGTCGCGAGCCGTCATCGCCCGCAATAACGGCTTACAATGCTCCACTGGAGGGCACCACGAGTGTGCCGCCAACTCCAGCGCGCCTTGTCCTGCGCCGTAGCTGGGCTCCCGCCGCCCGCCGCGACCCTCCTGTGCCCCCCTCCCCCCTTTCTTTCCCTCCCCCTCCCCCGCGGCGCGCTGACGTCCCTCCCGTGCCCCTCTGCTAGGGCAAGACGGTCGTGGGCCACAACATGCTGCTGGACCTGCTGCACATGGTGGAGCAGTTTGTCTGTCCGCTGCCGCAGAGCTACGCCGACTTCAGGGCGGTGGTCGGCTGCGTCTTCCCCAGGTCAGCTGCGTCTTCCCCTGTGTCTTCCCCAGGCGGTGGCAGGCGGCGCCAGCTTGTCCCGGATTCGCCCTGTCGGCAGGCGCGGTGGACAAGCAGTGTGGTCGATCTTGTGATCAAAATGTATTGGTTCCAAACCGGATGCGGAGAAGTTTTATGTGTCCCGGTTTGCACCAGGGGTGCTGCTGCTTGTTGCAGTAACTCCTGCAACTGCTGGTTCATATCAGTTCTTAGTATAATGCTGTATATAATAATAATAACAGATAGCAGACGCTGGTGCCATGCCGAAGGCAGTATTAAGTGTGAGATATGCCGGTGATGGCGGCAGGCTGTCGGTGGGTCTGGTTATCCTTTGAGGACCTTGGGCTAGCGGGACATGTAGAAGAACGGCAGTGGTGCGAATGGCGCCCAGCTACGTAGCTGTCAGATGCCGGCGAAAGCAGACGCGAGGCGCGGCCTGGGGAGCTCTTTCTCTCTGATCGGCCTGTTCGCAGCCTGGTCGACACCAAGGTGATGGGCTCAACACAGCCGTTCCGCGACCTCATCCCGTCGACCACGCTGGGCGAGATGGTGGTCTGTCTGGGAACGCACCCCTTCACCACGCCCACGGTCGGTGAGTAGAGCGCCTTTCCGCTGTTGGCTATGTGCGATCTCGCTTCTCTTACGACGGTAAATCACTTTTTTAATCGCACACCACTTTCCTTCCCCCAGGCACAGCTTTCTCTTCGCCCGATGCTAAGCAGACCTTTGTTTTGGACCAGAATCGTTGCACTTCATTATTTGGTTAACACAGTGCAGTGTACGGTGCACACCTTGCATTATCTATTGGTGTTTGCTTCGGGCTCGAGAGTGGATCGGCCACGACAACCAGACGCGTCCAGCTGCCCTAGCCGGGAGAGGACTCGGACTGGGCGGCGCGCGCCCTGCGCCCCGACGGTTGTCCTCAGGACCTGTACTCGGAGTCGACTGACGCGGTCCAGGCGCGCTGTGCGTCCCCGCTGACGCGACGCTGATACGCTGCCGCTGTCGGCCGAACCCGCCCTGACCTGACTGGCTTGAGCCAACCGATCTGACCTCGGTCTGACCTGGCAAGACCCCCCGCTTTGCTTGACCCGACCCGACCTGTGCTGACTGTCCTGGACCTGCTCTGACGTCGCGCGGTGCCGATCCGACTCGGACCGACTCTTAGTGGACTGGATCTGGCTCAAATCTTACATGCCGTGACCTGACTACGACCTTGCATGGCCCTGTCCATAATACAGGCTTGCATAGCCCTGCCCTGACTGCAGCCTTACAGGGCCCTGCCTAGAATACAGTCTTGCATAGCCCTGCCCGGAATACGGCCTTGTACCTCCCCGATCCGGCTGCAGGCTTGCATGGCCCTGCCCCGACTGAAGCCTTACATGGCCCTGCCTAGAATACAGTCTTGCATAGCCATGTCCGGAATACGGCCTTGCACGGCCCTGACCCGACTGCAGGATTGCAGGGGCCTGACCTCAATTGATGCCAACGTGGCGTGATTCTCACCTGGCCTGTCCCGATATTATCTGACCCTGACCCGACCCGATCTGACATTGATCTGATCTTATCCCGAGCTGACCTGACCTAGGTCTGGTCCGATTCGACCTGACCCTGATCTGTCTCATCCTGAGCTGACCCAACCTAACCTGACCAGGGTCTCACCCCGAGCTGACCTGACCTGACCTGATGTGACCCTGACCTGTTGGCAGTGGCGGCCGAGGGCAGCAGCGGGCCCGAGTACCGCGTGGGCGACAGCAAACATCACGAGGCCGGCTACGACGCCTTCCTCACCGCCGTCTGCTTCGCCTCAATGGTCAACTACCTGGGTGAGAGGACGTCCTGAAGAGTGTTCAGGCTCAAGAGCTGTTGGCGACGGAGAGAATGGCTGCATGTGGGGAGGATTTTTAGATGTGGAAGGTGGTATTCGTTCTCCCAGGTGTGACAGCGTGTTAGTATCGTTAAAGCGGTTCTGAAATCGTTTAAAAATCGTTGAAAGCTTGGCTCTGGCAGTGGTGCGGGTCATACATTATGTGAAGCAGCGCACGACGGTGGGGTTCTGAGTGGAAGCCTGGTGGTGATAATTGTCGACATTGGTGCGTTAGTTTTGTTCCTACACGGTCCAGCGTGGGTGGCTCCGCGATCAGATCTGTGGAGCAGGGCCAGGCCTGAGAGCGCCCCGGCGGTCCTCAGGTCTGCTGCTGACGCCGCCCAAGCCGCTGCTGGAGCCCAGCGCGGATATCGTGCGCCCCTTCTCCAACAAGTGAGTTACGGCGGGTAGTTGCGCCGCTTCCGTGTTCTGCGATCGCTTTTGGATAATGGCCGCGTTTTCCGCGTGGAGAGGCGAGCGTTTGTGTGGTAGGTCCGTGTCCAGCTGATGCGAGAAGCTGAAGTATGTGAAATGGCCAATGGAATCCACGTGCATGGCAGTCACCGATTCCCCATTGATTCGGGAAACAATATTTTACGTTAGTGAGAAGTCACCATTGGATCACATTTCACATTTCCGTGAAGCGAGGCCGCGAGTGTAGCGTGCGTGCCCTTGAGCCGCGGAAGGCTGCGCGTGATGCGTGTGGCCGGCGTGCCGTGCAGTGCAGTGTATGCCAGCCTGGTCAGCCTGTGCTTGCGCTGACCTCACCTGAGCCTGACCTGATGTTATGTGACTGGCCCAGGGTTAGCAGAGCCGTCTGTCGGCCCTGGCGTGGGTACACGTGTACCGTACCCGCCGCAGGGTGTTTGTGAAGGGGATGTGGGTACACGTGTACCATACCCGCCGCAGGGTGTTCGTGATGAGGATGGCCGACATGCCGTACCTGAACCTGACGGGAGATGACGTGGAGCCCAGCCGTGACCACGTCTTCCACCTGACCTTCCCGGCCGCCTGGAAGACGAGCGACATCGTCCAGCTGTTCAGCGCCTTCAGTGAGTCGCCGACGGCCCGTACCGTGGCTACGAACGCGAGCCTACCCTAGCTATCGTTGCGGAGTTGACGTGGTCCAGCCCCAGCGATGTCACCGTTAATTTACGCCCATGTCGAGTGCATCAGGGGTTGAGTGCGATCTGCGGTCAAATGCGCCGGGGTCTCAGGCTGCCCGCACACTGCATAACACAAACTTCCCGCACGTTGTATTGGTCAAGCTGCCGCTGTGTGCTGCACATCGGTGTGTGTGTGTGTGTGTGTGTGTGTGTGCGTGTGTGTGTGTGTGTGTGTGCGTGTGTGTGCGTGTGCGTGTGCTTGTGCGTGTGCGTGTGTTTGTGCGTGTGCGTGTGTGGTGCGCGTGCGCGTGCGCGTGCATGTGTGTGTGTTGCATTACCGGACGTCCCGGACCTTCGCCTGCCCGTTGTGTGGTGTAAGTCCCCTGACTCGTGACTACTCTGTGTGACTCGCCAGGCGTCCCGGACCTTCGCCTGCCCGTTGTGTGGTTAAGTCCCCTGACTCGTGACCACGCTGTGTGACTCGCCTGACGCGTCACAAAACGGTGAGACCGATGCCAAAATGCGCCCCGTCGAGACATCAGGGAGCCGATGTCGCTGGTTGTCCTGACCCGGAGACAGATGGACTGCTTTAGAAATCAGTGCGGAGCGCCAAGCTCGCGCCACCTGACGCCAACATACCGGACGAAGGTCTGTGATCACGACTTTTGGAGCGCAGCTACAAATCAGGACTTGGCGAAATGCCGGGCCGAGGGCCGTGACCCATGGTCAGTGACCCGTGACCCGTGACCCGTGACCCGTGACCCGTGACCTAGCCCCGCAGCACGGGGTTCTGACCGACGGGTGGGCTGCACGCAGGCCGGGTGCACGTGGCCTGGATTAACGACACGTCCGCGTTCGTCTCGCTGGACCGGCGGGACCAGGCGAGCCAGGTGCTGCAGAACGTCAAGGCGGCCGGCCTCTTCACGCTCTGCACCTACAGCGAGTGGCAGGCGGCGCAGGTCGGTGGCAGGGCGGCGCGGCGCAGGGTATGGAGGGGGATGGGGTCGTGGGCGGCTGGCCCCTCCCGGAGCGGCACAGGTTATCAGGGACGGCACACGGCACTGGTCCCTCCTCTGCGTTTAGATGTCTGTGGTTCGAATATGCGGTTGTGCGTCTAGTTTGGGCATAGGAAAAGCCAATTATCGCTGACACATCTATCAAAACTAACTGAACATCCATGTGAAGCAGTCTCATACGAGTCGTGGGCGTCAACCACGTCTCCATTTCAGCGAATGTCGCGCCCCGACCGAGCCGCGAAGCAGAAGACCTCTCCCGCGCCGGTCCGCGCGGTCTCCGCCGCTGGCGGCGCGGGCTCGGCGGCCGCAGACGCGCCGCCCGCCGCTGCGGTCAGTCCGCGCCCGGGCCCGGGCCGGCCGCCAGCCGCCGCAGGCGCCCCACGCCGCCGCACCGCCTCCGGCAGCGAGGCGACGGCGCGCTCCAGTCCGACCGCGGCCGACAGCGCCGCGCCGCGCCACAGCTCGCCGCGGGACGCCGGGAGTGACGCGCAGCACGCGCTGGCCAGGTCCGCCCGGAAGAAGCGGAAGCGGGAGACTTCCGGTGAGTCCGCAGGGCGTCAGTAAGTCAGCGGGGTGTGGTGAACAGTCAGCTGCGCCTCACAGTGCCGTAGCTCTGTGTGTGAGGAAAGCTAGTCAAGTGGGTGGTAGGCTTTGGTGTTGATAATTATTGGATCCAGGTTTGAATCCCGATGCAAGAGACTTTTGCTGGCGCCGCATCCATCGTAGTATGAAAATGCTCGTCGGCCAGGCAGCTACATGTGTCAAGGCATAATCAAATGACCTTTCCAACTTGGCCCGAGGCTATGTTGCCTGTTCCCTTGGCTGTTTTGCTGTTAAGCTGTTGGTTGTGCGTGTCACTTGCGGTCCAGAATAGGCAAGGAACAGGCCGGGACTCTTACTTATTGGAGTCATAATCATTACCGGATTATTTCCTCGATGTCCTGGAGCTGACACCAAACGTGTTGGAGAGATCGACGTTAGGCAAGCAGTTAAGTGACAATTTTGACTTAAAAACTGTGAAAGGCTACCAAAAACACTACTGAAACACTGAACGCCTATTTAACACACTACTGGAACGCATCTAAACGTTTCGCCTTTTCGTTTCAAGTATTTTGAATCACTGACACCGACTGCAATCTGAAATACACAAACAGGATTCTAATTTGTGCTATGCGGCGGTTCACCTCATCGGAAAGGTATCACTTCTTAAGAAAACAACGAAAAATAAGTGTTGTAGGCGGGCACACAAATTATCAAGCATGGGGTCGCTTTTAGCGCTGGTGTGATGCAAGGGCATCTGGCGTTATCATCAGCCTGCCAAGCTGGGTCGATTCTTGGAGCTCTCCTTGGCACAGTGATCGCTCGGACTTTCGTAATGAGGCAGGCATGATAACGACTAGTAGATGTGTTGTATGCGGCATGGCACACCTGGACCGCTCGTGGACCACGGCAGCAGGACGCGCCAGCTTATGCCGCAAATGTAATTATCGTGTTTTTTTTTCTCCTTTCTCCAGACTCTTCGGCGAACGGGACGACAGCACCCGGGGGCTCGACAGCCGCAGCCGACACGGACGTGTTCGCCGTGCCGGACTGGTAGCGGCGGCTGCTGCTGGCGGCGACGCCGCCGGTCAACCGCCCGCTGCTGGCGGCGGTGCCACCGGTCAACCGCCCGCTGCTGGCGGCGGCGCCGCCGGTCAACCGCCCGCTGCTGGCGGCGGCGCCACCGGTCAACTGCCCGCTGCTGGCGGCGGTGCCACCGGTCAACCGCCCGCTGCCGGCGGCGGCGCCACCGGTCAACCGCCCGCTGCTGGCGGCGGCGCCACCGGTCAACCGCCCGCTGCCGGCGGCGCGGCCGCAGCGCGCGGTGGCGCCACCTGTCGCTGGGGTTTATTTGATGTGAATTGCACCGTACAAATACACATCTCATCCGCAGCAGGTGTTCAGCAGCGTTCAGAAGTCGTACGTTGAAATGGGCTCCGCCGCCACGGGGACGGAGACAAGCCCAACTGTTTGACATTTTAAAACTACTTTAGTCTGACGTTTTGATTTGGTGGATTTCGGTGATCAGCACGCACACTAAGCCGGGGTTATTGCGTGAGCCCCAATCCCTCAACTCGATCCTGAAGTTCCGGGTCGACGGCAGGATCTTGCGGCGAGGGCTTCACGTGTCGCAATGGTGGGCACGGCCCGTCCCGCCCTCTGACCTGCTGGATACGGCCGCTGGGCGCAGGCCATCCCAATCAGAAGCGAGAAGTGGGCGCCTGAGGCGACTCGAACCCACTCCGCCGTGGGTGGGCGGGTCGGAAGACACATCCTGTAACCAACTTGGTAAGATATTGGTCGACCAACAGTGTAATCGCATGCAGCATTATGCAAGAAAGAAAGATCTTCAGCTCCTTGTATTTCGGCAGCTTGAGTTTATAGTTCGTATGGTGAGTTATTGACCTTCAAATGACGGAACGTACTGCTGAAACGAAGTTATATCGCAAACATTCATCATATGAACGGTGCTCCACGCTTCGAGCTGACATGCTCAAGAGCACTCACGAGTAATAAGGGTTTGAACAAGTCCTGAGCAAATAAAAGAAACACCTGGCAGGTAAGACACGGGAATGTAAAAAAAATGCTGAAAATTTTCCTAATCTGCAAAGACAATGCCACAAAAAAGGGCTGCACGAAACGCAGACGGCTAAGCCGGAAGTTCGCGATGACCCGTACCGAGTATTGGTTAAGAATCTCACTCGCCGCGTTTATCCGGCCTCCAGCATTGCCTCAACCTCACGAACATTACTGGAACGGTGTGCTCACGTCCTGCAGCCTAACAATACGAGGGACTGGTAAGGGCAACCCGAGCATGCGTCGAAAGCATAATATTTTTCTGGACGTTTCGATCCCTTGTGCCTGGTGTCGGGGTATAGCTATTTGTTGCAGGGTTTCCGGCGTTCATCACACTGAATCATTTTTGAACGTTCATAACCTACATAATGTTAAAACCAGGCCCTATAGTGACGCCGTGTTCAGCCTCAAAATAAGATTACGAATTCACGGCGATTCTGAGAGCCCTGAACTCATGAAATGAAGCGTCATGCTCACGTGCATTGTAAGAAAACGCTCTCGAAATCCTGGAATGTCTTTTCCCCATGCTCTTCCACGGTTGAGGCCTTCGATGTCAAAGTTTATCCATCATGCATCGAATCCCAATCTGAATGCGGCCACGTATTTAGATTGCGATTCTAACGTCAGGTATATGCACCTTTGACAACTTGGCCTTTCCGGAGGTCACGATGTAGCTTCGAAGGAGTGGCTAATCCAATACACAGTCACGCATTTGCCCGTCAATAAGGTGTCGAATTCAAATCCAAACACAACCACGTGCTTGCTGCAACGTCAAATGCATTGAATTTTGACAGACTGGCCCCTAAATGAATAAAGGTCCCCGTGCAGCTTCAAGGCAATTGGAAGTCGGATGTGCAGTCACATCACTCCGTCAGCAAGGCATCTAATCCAAGCGTGCCGACACTCATGTGGTCGCCATGACGTCAGGTATTTGCACATTTGGTAACAATTCCCGTGAAGGTCGCCTCACAGCTGCCAGACAATTGGGGGACAACACGCGATCACCGAGTTCTTGGTCATTAATGCATCAAACCCACATCTAAAAACGGCCGCTGTTTGTCATGACGTCGGGTGTAGGCACTTCTGGCAGCCGAATTTCTGGGGGTCACCGTACAACCCCCAGGCAGTGGGGAGTTAAAAATGTGGTCGCGTACACTCCGCCAATAATGCATCAAATTCAAACATCAAAACGTCTACGTGCTCGTCCTGTCGTGACGGATATGCACCGTTGATAACCTAACATAGGTCATCGTATAGCACAAAGGCAGCTAACAGTTAAGTACGCATATACGCACTACTCCGTCAATAAGACATCAAATCCAACCCTGAAGGTGGCAACGTGTCGCCATGGTGTCGGCAGCATGACTTTCAAAGGTCACTATAAAGCCTCCAGGAGACTAGGGGAAATACACGGTAACACATTAACCTGACAATAACGCATCGAAGCCAAATCTAAAAACAATTACATTACGACTTGCGTCATTTAGACATTGTACACTTCAAACATTACGTGTCTTGGACGTTGTGTGCTTGGGACATTTCGCACTTTGTACGCTCTGCACTATGGATGCATGGATGATGCGGCCCCGGCGAGACACGCGGCCGCCACTTCACGCCCTTGGCTCCGGGCCCGCCGCCTTTGTTTGAAGAGTTCAGTTTCACCCGCTGCTGCCGAGACAATGCAGCGGCGGATGGACTGAGATGCGGAGTCTCGAGTGTTACCGGCTGGCGGTGATGTAACCCAGCACGTTACGGCAGGTGGTGTCTGGTGTTTGACAGCAACAGACGGCAGAGGAAAGCTGCTAACGGAGCACAGACACGCGCGTTGACAGTGGAACACGTGTGTGTGTGTGTGTGTGTGTGTGTGTGTGTGTGTGTGTGTGTGTGTGTGTGTGTGTGTGTGTGTGTGTGTGTGTGTGTGTGTGTGTGTGTGTGTGTGTGTTGGTCGGTGGGAGCAACGCCTCAGGAAACTGAAATGCGTTTTTTACCTAAAGCAGGGGTGAAGTTCCGTATTCAGTTGGGGAGACTTAAGCTCTCATCCCCTTCCAACTTCGGCTCGAGCCCCCAACCCCCCAACTTTGAGAAGAAAGTCTGCCAAATGCGGGGGGAAACCCACTTGTTGCTGTAGTTTGCGGTGGGTTGAGTCTTTTATCAACGTTCAGTCCCCCAGCTCAAGTTGGGAAGCTTCGCTTCGGATCTGAGGCTTCAGTGTGTCGCACACGAACATTGCGTTAATTTGCTATCGGCTTGTCATCTGAAGTGTCACCTGAGGTGCTAAACAAACCAACCTGCTGGGAAAGGCATCCCGCATTAGTCGACGTACAGTCTATTCGCGTTCACACCGCGGCCCAATGAATAGCGTGTTGGAGTATTACTGGCGAGAGGCTCAACTCGTGCATGTGTAGTTTGCCTTGTGTCGCACCACCAGGGTCACAGTATTTCAATAACAGCAAAACTGCCCGATGCCCCTGGCACATTGGTGAGATGTTTTTGCTGTTAGTGTTAATGCACTTCGATGATACAAGCGCGCGCAGCGGCGGATAGCGAACAGCTCTTAAACCGTCTGTCCATGGTTGTCCACACGGAGCAATGCAAGTGGCCAGGAACACGCCTAATGGATGTCCCACCTTCCAGTGCGCACTCCCTCTCGTTGCCCACACTCAGCGGCC